GCGCGTATTAGTTTTAGAAATCCTAGAATGGCATCCCTTTATTAAACTATCTATTAGAGACTTCTTGCAGACATTGCCATCTATTTGAATTTATTAATAGTAAGAATTCTATTGCTATATTGCTTTATATCCTACTAACCTCCCCTCTTTAGCTCTATCTCCTCATCTCCCTTATAAAATCAGGCTTATATAACTATTACCTTCTCGGTCCTTAAAGGGCCCGCTTTTTCAGGCTATGGCATATATAACCGCATTATAACCTCTTACCTTAACTTTCTAGCTAAGGGTAATATGCTCTAAGTAGCTATCTATTTATTACCTGCTACTTTTAGCCTTCCCTTAAACCCTAAATATATACCTATAATTTATATTACTGCTAAATCAGGACTAGCGCCATTCTAAGGCTTTATAAAGTAACATGCTATTATATATAATTTAAGTTATACTCTTATACTAGCTCTGCTCTTCTTTAGTTATTATATTCCTAATTAAGATAATCTTTACTATAATAAGTTTAATAGTTAACAGAAGCTTAGCATAATACAGGTATATCAAGCATATAGTCAATATAGAGAGGGGTATAAATATATCTAAGGTTAGATCTAGCAAGATAAGGAAGACTTTATTAAGCTCTGGAATAAAGGCGCTATAATATATATATATAGCTTAAGGGCAATAGCTAATTTAGTTAAAGAGGTTATAATTAAAGTAAAGACCGAGATTAAGAAGAGATCTAGAGGCGACATAGGCTTAGATAAGGCAAGGAAGTAGTTCGATAAATAAAGGAATATAAGGTATATTATGGATGTGTTTGACTAGGCATGCGGGCAAGGTATAAAGAGAGTATAGTAAAATCTATATTATAGATATATAAGCAAGATAAAAAATAGGACTTATATAAGATAAAAAGACAGTATTAATAATTTAGAATTATATATAAAGTGTATAATTTAATTTATAAGAGTTCATACCAGCTTACTTATCTAATAACTAAAAGTCTTATAAATATATATTACTTCTAGTATATCATCTCATCCACTCTTTCTTTCCCTGGTCCATACCCTTGAATGAGGGTTACTGACCGAAAGACAGACAAGATTTATCGCCATTCCTATGGGAAATTATACTAACTTGCACTTGAAGTTACAAGTCACTTAAAGCGGCCTCTGTGATATCTGGTGCAGACTCTCCTAACCGGCTCTCTTAAATATAAACGCAGCTGAAATCCGTCCAATATATGAGACTGTAGGAAGACAAATGTTCTGTTTGTAAGTGCTTCTAATTGTCCTCTGTAAGAGGAATTAATTTTTTTCAGACAATTTAAAGCACTCAGCTCGCTGTAAACTATCAGTGGCAGACAAACTCAAAAAGATTCTTCCACACTTACAATAGCATAAGGCGCCTTCTTTCCAAACTTGGTAATTCCTGAGATTGCTTCAGCATCCTGACGATAAACCCTGTATATCTATCTGTAAGCCGATAGGGCTCTGGTAGAAGTTTCTTTTAGTCCTCTGGAAGTTTGTTATACGCAGAAACCGCCTAACTGAAAGTATCCGCAAGGAGCTGCACAGACTTAAAATAGTTAATAAGATATATGATGCTTCTAGGTGTCAGATTGGGGGGGATCGGCAAGGTCTCGATAGACTGTATCATCTCTGGTAATTATTCAAGGGCCATATAAGAGCATTATAAGCGGGCTACTCGGACCTTTAGCATCTTGCATCTTAGCTTCTGGTAAAGCCTATCTTCAGCCTCCTTGCCAAACTCGTTTCAGATAACCTCCAGATTAAACTCTAGCAATAGTAATGAAATCTGATTTTTGATAGAGTAATCAAATAATATAAAGCTAGTAAGATCAAGGTTAACATTTATCCTGGGAGCGATAATGATTTAGTATATGTACTTTGAAAAGTTCTAGCTAACTAGCATAAGGTCGTGTAGCTCCCTAGGCGTAAGTGTTTCTTTAATTCTATTTTTACCCCCAAGGTCCCTGAATTGTTTAGCATGACCTTCTTTCTTTATAACAGAAACTTATATGATTATACTATTGAACATGGATATTGCTATATGAAAGTACTGCAGTGCTGATATAAGTTCACCTTCATACTAATAACAAAGTGCAGCCAGTAATAACGCGCGAATCAAGGGAAGAGATAGCGTGCAGTTCGATATTATAAGCAGACTTCGCGATATCTAATTTTCTAATCGCTTGATGCTATCTCTAGAGTTCTTTTAATATTTTAGTTCGTTTAGTAATTTACCTAAGGGTATAATAATGTAAAGTGCTGTAATAAATGGAAGTTAGAATAGTTATTTGTCGTTTATTCCATTAATTTTTAGTAAGGACTTAATAAATTCCTGCCTATAAGCATTAATTAAGCTTAAATCTAGGCCAGGTAGAGGGAATATGTGGCAAAGGTGCTCTCTATATCACTTAATCTTAGATTTAATAAGTTCATCTAGGAGAGGCTTCTCCTCCATTCTGAACTACCAAAGAAATAACAAAAGCATACTGAAAAGTATCGATATAAAATGGGTTGTGGGGTAGGGGCAGTGGTATTTCAGGCGGCATCAATGCGGCTCTCATCAGGCTGTGGTTTTTTTTACCTTGTTAGCAAGCTGATTATGGTTACGGCATCTTCAAACAATGTTCAATGGCTTGACCTAAGTTCCCTCTTCTCTTACGACTGAATGTGACAGCGTTGCTGCAAGTTGCTGATCACTGTAGTCCAGAAGAGCTAGTATATGATAGCAGGGAGGTCAACGGCTCACCGGCTCGCCGGAGGGAACATAAGTGAAGAAGCGGTGAAGAATACTAGGCAACTTTCGTTCCGCCCTCAGACAGGACGCCAACATAAACGGAGTAAGCCAAGTTTTATAAAAGTGCTAATAAATATAGTCTATATACTAGAGGTATTTTTAGGTAATTAGTAAGGTTATTAAGGGATTAGTAGTAATTTAGATAGATTAGTACTAATTATGGTAGATTAGCTTTAATTATAGAGTCTTGGTGTTAATTGTCTTTAGCGGGGGTTATGGTCATTGGTAGAAAATGTAGTGTAACGGCTGCACCTAACCACTACGCCACAGGGCAAAAGATCGGGCTACAACTGCTATTGTAGCAATTACAGTGGTGCATTCAGCTGCTTATAGAGCCTTATAGCGCTGTTACGGGCACGAATCGTAACATGTAGGGTATACGTAATAAAACCGGTAAGGTCGTAATACTTTAAGGCTATTAGAGGTAGTAGTATTTTTAATAATAAAATTTTTTTTAAGGTTCTTCTTAGCTTCCTTTTAATTATACCTTTTATAAGCTTAATAAATATCTTTTATAAGGGCTGAGATAGTATATATCTTAAGTATAATAATATATTTTTATTTAGGTATATTAATATAATCTATATAATATTTAAAGAAATAAAGATATTTTAAGATATTTTTATTATTAAAGATAGCTATATATAAAGTTATTTAGTTAATTATAATATAAGGCTTATATTTATAAATAGCTATAATAAGATCTTAAAGCTAGTTAGCTAAGTTATTAGCTTAATAAATATAATCCTTATATTATTAGAGGATAAAGAAGTATTAATAAAGCTTATTATAATAAGTATTAATTAGCTAGTTAATATAAGGTATTTTTATAAGGTCTTTTTTAAATTAAAAGATAATTATAAAAAACTATTAGTATTCTTTTTATTTATCCTTAATAAGATAATTATATTAATTACTATTATAATTACTAGGTTCTTTATAAAAGTCTAAAATATAATAAATATAAAAATATCTTATATTAAAGTTTTTAAAATCTAATTAATTAGTTAATTTTATAAAATTTTAAACTATTTTACTAAAGTATTAATAAGTTTAGTTATTATAAAAGTAACTTTTTTAAATAACCTATACTTAAGTAGCTTAATAAGTGCCTTAATACTAGTTTTTAAGTTTTATTAATCCTAGGCTATATTAGGTTTATTATAATCTATAATATATAATATAATCTTAATATTTTCTTATTAAGTTAAGGCTAAATTTTTTTATAAGGCAAATTTTAATATTACTTTAATATAAAAAACTATTATAAGGTAATACTAGCTTTATAATTTTATTATTACTTTTTATATATATAGGCTATTTAATTTTATTACTTTTAACTTAATAATTAAAAAATCTATTACTTTTTATTACTTTTATAAGTAATTTTTATTATTTATCTTAGCCTCTTACTTATTCTTTATTAAATATATTTCCTTTTCTTTTTAATTATTATAATTTATAATTTAAATAATATAAAAGTACTTTTTCTTTAAATAATTAAATTATTTTAAAATCTTTTTAAAAACTAATTATATTATAACGGTTGTGGCAAGCATTCCAGGGTAAGAGGTCTAAGCTTCGTTAGTGGGGCCAGATAGATGTCTGTGGTGACAGACAAAGGGACGGATTCCCCGGGGACTTTAACCTTTTATGCTTCTTTTTATATATATAATTTTTACTCTTTTTCCTTTATATTTAATACTATTAAACTAATTATTTAATCTTCTATCTTATAATAAAGACCTTATCTTAATTAAACCTAACTAGTAGTTTATACTTAGCTTGTAGTTAAGAAGTATTAGAAGATATTATCTTATGCAGTCTTTTCTTTATTATTGCTCTTTACCTTTAAAATATTAATAAAGTAAATTTTCTAGGTTTTAAGAACTAATTTAAAGGTAAAAAGTAATACTAAAAAAAAACTATATATAATAATATCTTTTAATACTTCTTAACTACAAGCTAAATATAACTATTAATTAGGTTTAATTAAAATAAGGTCTTTATTATAAAATAGAGAATTAAATAATTAATTTAATAATATTAAATATAAAAAAAAAAGAGTAAAAATTATATATAAAAAGAAGCCTAAAGAACTAAAGTCCTTAAGGGAATCTATCCCTTTATATCTGTTACCACTGACATCCATCTGACCCCACTAACGAAGCTTAGACCTCTTACCCTGGAATGCTTGCCACAACCGTCACAACACCCTCCCCAATAGCGGACTGTGTACCAGCCAGAATCAGCTTGTGGACTAGCTGCGGGTAGTCCCATGCTAGGATCTGGGCAATGCCGCCCCCCATTGAGAAGCCAATGACGTCTGCCTGAACGACTCCGATGGCAGCCAAGAATTTGGCAGCAATAGAAGCCATAACCGACGTTGAATCTGGTACAGTGCCTTCGCTGTGACCGATACCGAAACTGCCATATATAATGACCTCTCGGTTCTTGGCAATGGTGTTGAAGAGAAGAGGGTCGAGTGTATCCATTGAGCCCCGCAGATGGTTAATGTAAAACAACGGAAGGGTACTCTGCTTTCCAAATCGCCGGTACGCAATCTTCAGTCTGTCGACAGAAGTGAAACGAGTCTGAACATTCTGGAGGGTCGCCATTGTATTGTTCTTTTCTTGACGAATTGTTTACTGAGGAATTGTCTAAGGATTATGAAGAGTGATTGAACAAGTGCTCTGAAATGTTTTGGTGTCTAGGTAGTCAAGATGAATGGGATATCTAACTGTTTGTTTCTAGAGGCTCTTTAGTATTTCTAGCAGCAAACCCTTTCACATAATGCGGAAAGCAACATTGTCAATTACGGCCAGGTTCCGACGGACAAATTCATTTCGCCTTCTCCGCCTTTGGTTCGGTAACGTACATGATTGCCGATTATCTGGGGTTGTAAACCTTAACCATCCCATGACAAATCTGTCTGCTTCAGCACGAAAAACGCCTGTTCTGATCAGTAATCATCTCGCTATGTGAGCGGCACAATAGTTTCCCAACATCCCATGAGCTGGGTCGATTTCAGGTGCCCAATTTGTCACTCCCCTGAAGCCGTACTACGAGATTAGGCTATCCAGAGTGAACGATGTCAGGCGCGCGATGCAAGCATCAGCTGTTATTGAACACGGAATCTTTATCTAAGCCTTCCGGTCCCTATCCCGGACAAAAACCAACTCCTCGTCGAGGTCAAGGCTACCGGCCTCTGTCACACCGACTGCAACATAGTATCTGGATTAGACAATACTTTCTTCTGGAAGCGGCCTATCATCTTGGGTCACGAAACTGCTGGCGTGGTTGTCAAGGTAGGTTCAGACGTTACCAAGTTCAAAGTTGGTGACCCTGTCGTTGCCGTTATCGGCACTGAGCACCCCATCACATTCGGAGACGTGACCACCGCCGCCGGCATTGGCTATGATGGTGGATTTGCGCAGTACGTGGCACTGTTTGAGTCAAAGACACTGCGTATTCCTGAGGGGGTCACGTTTGCTCAAGCGGCCGTGGCTACCGATGCCACTGCAACAGCATACCATGCTGTCGATGTCGAGGCCCAGATTTCTGCGTCTTCGAAAGTCGCCATCATTGAACTGGGTGGTCTAGGTCTATCGGCGGCTCAGATTGCATCCCGCCTTGGCTCCAAGGTCCGTAAAATGCTAGTTGCCTTATATAAAAGGGAGCTTGGCTGGCTTGCGACTAAGCGGGCCAATTATACATTTCCACAAGATGCAACATTTTGAATCGCAAATGCATATAATGGTAATAGTGACTAAGGCTTCTGGAGCACGCAGGGTTAGCATTAAGTTGAGGAGACAAAGAATAATAAAACGAAACTCACGAAAACTAGATATAACTAGGGCTAGTCATAAGTTGCTTAATAACTGGATAGCTATGTCGAATTGAGCACCCTCAATATTTTCACCCTCACAGTAGGCACTCGATCACTTATGTGTTAGTTCCCTTGTTATATCTCGGCACTCGGCACGAGCGCTCATTGTGTCAGATTTAATCCAATACCACGGATCAGCAAAACCCATAGTCGGTAGTGGAGATATGGGTCCTTCAAGCCATCCTCCAGTGTTACCATCATGTTCTATCGGGTAAATGCCAGAATGGTGAATCCACTTTCGGTGTAACCTCCACAGCCAGAATATAAGGTGAAGAATCCCCGCATCAACTGTACGATTTTCTTCAGAGGAAACACTCTGGGAGTAATGTGAAGCTGCTATAGTGCAGATCTAGAAAACCTCATTGACAATTCCCATCAAATTCTTTTCCCCAGCAGTGATCATGCGTCAAATCCACTTGGATAAAGGTTGGAAGTTCAAACAGGCCAGTTCTCTGAACGATGGCACTGCTTCGTCCTTTCTACCTGTCGCTCAATTTCCCACTGCCGCTCATATTGACCTTCTGCATCATGAGTTGATCCCCGATCCCTATATCGACAGCAATGAACTGAAGTGTCTTTGGGTCAATGATGCGGACTGGACATATCGTACCGAGGAGGTCTCTCCGTTCGATCTGAAACCGTCTGAAAAGGCAGAACTTGTTTTCGAGGGCCTTGATACAGTGGTTGACGTGTATCTGAATGATTCGCATATCTTGTTCAGCAACAATATGCACATATCTCATCGTGTTGACGTTATCGACATGCTGCGGGGTAGAGAGGAACCATCCGTTCTTGAGCTCAGGTTCAAAACTGCCCCAGCATACGGCCGTTCTGAACGTGGGCGCATTGGATACAGGACGACAAAAGTTGGAAGAGGTGTCAACTTTGGAGGGTCTGAGAGACTCTTCGTAAGGAAAGCCCAGTATCATTGGGGATGGGACTGGGGTCCGGCTATCAACACTTGCGGTCCCTGGAAGCCCATATACTTGGAGGTCTACGAGTCACGAATCTATGATCTCCGGGTCACTCAAAATGTTACCCCAGATCTCTCTTCTGTGGACATCAGGGTCGAAGCGCAAGTGGAGGGTCACAACAGTATCAATGAGGTTCAGGTTCAGTTACTGGACCTTGAAACAGGGACCATTGTGGTTGATGATAAAGCATCGAAATCGACTAAAGGGGCCCTATCCTTCACCATCAAGCTCAACAGACCCAAGCTATGGTACCCATTCTTGTATGGAGAGCAAAACCTCTATCTCCTTCAGGTCAGCATTCCCAATCATGCTGTGAGTAGAAAGTTGGGTATCAGACGATTGTGTCTACTGCAACATCCGCTCAAAGATCAGCCAGGGACGTCATTCATCTTTGAAGTCAACAACATTCGTTTTTTCAGTGGCGGTTCATGTTGGATTCCCGCTGACTTCATGCTGCCGCGGGTGTCAAAGGATACCTACGACAAATGGATTACTCTTGCCAAAGCAGGGAACCAGTCCATGATTCGTGTTTGGGGAGGTGGGATTGTTGAGGACGATAACTTCTATGATATATGTGACCGTGAAGGCATCATGGTCTGGCAGGACTTCTTATACGCGTGCGGAAACTACCCGGGCTCGCCTGACTTCGTTGCCAATGCCAAGGTCGAAGCGGAACAACAAGTCCAGCGTGTTGGTCACCACCCCTCTCTTGTCTTGTGGTGCGGTAACAATGAGGACTACATGTTGGCAGACGGAGATCGTTGCTGGGAGGTTGACTACAGTGACACTACTGGTCCATGGGACAAGACCACATTTCCAGCACGCGAGATCTACGAACACACTCTACCTTCGGTCATCAAAGCATCAGGTACTGATGTCCCGTATTGGATCAGCTCACCTTATGGTGGAACCTTCTCCAATGACCTAACAGTTGGTGATACGCATTGTTGGGATGTCTGGCATGGTAAGCTATCCCCGTACCAGGACTACAAGGCCTACACGTCCCGTTTCATCTCGGAATTTGGCTTTGAGTCAGCCCCCAGTCTCCAGACATTGCACCGAGCTATCACATCTCCCAAAGAGCGCCATGCACAGTCGCGGACTTTTGATGTTCATGATAAAGGCCCTGGCCATCAAAGGCGGTACCCGATGTACATGGGGGAGAACTATCGGTTTCGGATGAATCCACTCAAGGATTTTGTGTACTGCACGCAGTTTCTTCAAGCCAAAGCGATGGCGTATGCTTATAACTGTTGGCGACGTGAGTTCCGAGGGCCTGGGGAAGAGAACTGTGCTGGCGTCTTGGTCTGGCAGTTAAACGATATCTGGCCTGGTATTAGCTGGGCGCTCATTGATGTTGACATGAATCCCAAGCCGGCATACTACATCACTAAGCGAGCGCTGGCTAAGATGGTTGTTGGGATGGAACGAGTCGTCACAGACAAGCCACCGTATATCACCACTGGTTATCTCGATGAGAAGCACAAGGTTGACATCTGGGCCGTCAATGGTCATCTCAATGAGATGAGAGTCATTCTGGAATTGAAGGCCTTCGATATCCAAAGCGGAAAGTCACTGGTATGGACAAATTCGGCCAACTCAAAGGAATATGTTTTGAAAGGAAACCGATCAACTGAACTTCTGGCCGGGCTGGAGATTCCGAACCCAGATGAAACGGTCTTGGTTGCATATCTACGAGATGTCTTATCTGGAGAACAACTAGCCAGGTGGGTGAGCTGGCCGGAGCCTCTTAAGTACCTGCACATGTCTTCCGATCTCAAGGTCACTGCCGAAATAGTGGACGATCGATCAGCAGTCATTGTGAGAGCCAATGCACCCGTAAAGGGAGTTGTGTTAAGTGCATGCGACGCTGACGGCAAGAACTTGGTCTTTGACAACAACTTCATCGATCTGGTTCCAGACGAGGAGGTGAGAATCGGGGTAACAGGCCCATTGGGGAATCGTGTTGATGTCAGGTTTCTTTACGACTGGGAACTCGAACCGGGATTTCAGTTGTGATACTACGCCGTTGAGATGTATTATTGGATATCCATTACAACGTATGATCATTCCCCGTCGATGGGGTTGGCTAGCTAGGGCCACGTGGGCCCCAATACCAATGCGACGTCTTTTCTCTTCCTCGGGTAAAACGTATATTTTGCAGTGTTCCATTTAGTAATTGGTAATGCCGTTGATACTGTATGACCACATGGTTTGGGAATTTCCGTATCCTATTCAAGTACAATGCTCATGGTGAAAAACAAGGCTTTATCATACAAGTTAAACTTTTCCCTCATATTGATCTAATTTACCAACCTCGCGGTTGAGGATAAACTTTCAGCTACAGGTCTTAGCAGCAAAAAGCACAATGGCGGTCAGGTAACCTAAATATTGTAGTACCTCACTAAAAGAACAGCGCTAAGCAAAGGACAGGGCACTGCTTGATGGGATCATCGATTAAGAAAATCTAGCGGTCTGAGCAGATCGAATGTTTCTAGCAAAATTACAGACGTCAAAAATAGCTCGTCTCATCAGCAACCAAGCTGTCTTTCGTTCATAAATAAACCCCGATATTTCGGGACAATACACCCACTAACCCAATGATACTGCAAAAACGTTGCTCTTCCACAATGGTGCCGCCAAGACTCCGCGGATGCTGCGATAGCTGCACGAGAAGTAAGCTCAAGTGCAGCGGCGAAATGCCTTCTTGTCAAAGATGTCGGATGCGGGGCCAAGACTGCGTGTACAGCAAGGCTCGACGTGCTGGGCGTCCACGTCTCAGGCCCAAGCCAAGTAAAGCATCGATCGCATCCTCTGTTGATCGGCAACCACAAACCGATCTCGCCAGCTACAGCGACCAACCTGTCAATGGCCTTCGATGTTTAGGAAGTGAACTGCCTGTCTCATCACATCCAGATACTGTTCTGGATTCGCCAGTCTCCCAGGACATCGTTTTCTTAATGCAAGATACTTGGTCGTCAACACCGGGGCTCAGTTCAGAAGTCACACAACCCTCGAACGTCTCCGAGTTTGATGACTTAATGCTGAAGGATATGCTCTGGGATAGCGCCGAGGGCCATGGCTCGGCATCTTCTGGCACTCTTCAACTAGAGTGGAGTCTGGACAACACCCAGTTCAGCAACCCCTTAGGAGATGCATATCCAGGGCATGGTGCAACTAACGAGGGGACACTTGGTCATACTTTAACAGGCCCATCAAGCTTCTACACGGACGCAAGCAAGAAATCAGATGGTACCAGTGGCCGTCTGACAGAAATCGACAAGGAGATCAACGCAATTATGGCCACTATCATGGACATCACCAAACGACCAATGCGATCATATCACCTCCACGATGATCCATGTACAACGTCGTGGCCACAGCTACTGAGCAAAGCCCAACTGCTCATGTATATAGCTGGGTCAGAGAACTCATCCTCTTTGCGTCTGGATGCAGTACTACAAGTCTCATGGACTGCCGAGCAGGTACAGAAACGGATCTGGGGATGTCCTACCTGCATGTCTCGGAGCATGGAGCTATCTAGCATGCTTGCTTTGTTATATGACTGGATCTCATCTCGGATTGCCTACGCTCTTGAGAATCCCGCCGTCATCCAGAGTTGTTGTCTAATGATCGGCGACTCAGTCCTGACTGGGCAAAACGGCATTATAGGCACATATGAGCTCGTTAAGTGCAGGATAACGAGAGCGATATACGTGATAGAGAACCTGAACAACGCAAATGTTACCATGGGGGAAGGTGATCCTGGTCGACTATACCAAGTGGCCCGGCTTATGCTTGAAGTGGCTGAGAGTCGCTTAGAAGCCATCTCGGGAATGATAGACCTTTTAGCAAGCGAGCAGTTCTGCAGTATATGAGGATAAAATGATATCTGGTAGTTTTAGGTAGTGCTCTCGTAGACAGTATTCAGCGCCCTGCTTTTCCTGTATGAACACAAATGAGCATATCGCACAGGGACTAAATGGAAGAAATATTTTCATTGTTTGCTCTTCATATGTAGCTATCTCTTCCTTGGTTTTAGAAATAATAATAAGTTGGTCCAAAAGCATCTTATACAATTTGAGTCTTATGAGAAATATAAAGAGGTTCTTTCTACCATTATCTTCACATGGTCCATGGCCACTTCTATCTCTTGGTCAAATTGCTCAGGATGATGAATAGAGCCTATTGTCCCGGACTTGCGTTTCAAACTAATCCACCGAAGATTCTGTCCAATTCTCATAGCTGCATCTCTGATGAGTCTTCTCGCAACGACTGTACTCTCACAATCATCGAGAATAATACTTCCGAATACGAATCTCTCCTTCATACAGTCCTTAGGCGCCTGTGGACTACCATCTGGCAGGTCAGACGATAGGTAAATATGTGGCCCTAGGCAGCTGTCTTCAGGTGTTTGAGTCCTTGTCACTGCAGCATAGACACTTTGTTCTGCTTCGAGGAGCAGTAAGACATGTTTCAAAGCGGAGAATGCATCTTGGATTATACGTGCATCGTTTGAACATCGAGCACATGCGCGGATCGCTAACAACATTGTGGTAATTTGTGTATCGAGATTCATAACAGAACCCAAAGTACTCTTCTCAGATCGAGGCTCGTGGATTGTGGGAAAGGAAGTGCCGCTGGAACATGGGCAGGGTATTTCATTGGACCCTTGTTGCTGGTTGTTGACAAACATCGGGGTATAAGGTCGCTTGTTTGTTGTCTGGAAGCCTTACGAGGGTTGAAAAAGAGAACAAGAGTAATTGTATTACGGAATATTGTGTTTATTATTGCGATAGCAGGGCGATATGGATCACATCACTAGAATCCAGCTTAGATTAAATTGATCAAAGCGACAGGCATGGATACTTTTGCTTTTATAGATAATGCTTGGACTTAGGAGTGACAGGGCTGTCTCGGTTCGTTTGATTGATCCTATCAATATCGTCGCCCGCTTGCGGGAAGCCTGCCTCGGTTAGGTCGGTAATGGACACCCGGCAATTACATAAACTTTCGAAGCTATCGAAATTGACCAGGCACTCCTGGGAATGCCAGAATTAGTAAAAGTATAATAATCTATTTATGGGCCTACATGAATTTGAAATAAAGTTGAAAATCTATATGCTTTAATATATCTAAGCTAAGTAAACTGTAAAGAGTTTTATCTTGTCCACCACTTTTGGCTCTTTAAAGTAAGAAGACCGAGAATTGAGGTCCAACTCAAAATCACCAATTGAAACATCCCAGCAAGCCAGGAAAGAACCAATCGCCATACCAGTCTACCACTAGTGTGATAAATTCGTAGCCCGCCAACATCAGAAACATAACCCGTCCCTTTTTCTCGAAGGGCGTCAGGGATAAGCATGAAGCTCCTCCAGATTGTCAGAATTGATATTTCCAATAATATCCAAAGAGCATGTCTGGGGTATAGGATCACACTTCTAAGCAAGGTGTAAGTGACCAAGATCATCAGTGGACCTTTCAGCCAGATACATGCCACGTTGATAAGTGGATATATGCTCCCTGTTCCGTCTTTGGTGATAAATGGTTCGTCTTCCTGCTTTTCTTTATCCAAGAATTCCAGGGAGGACTGGGTGCGTCTCGGCCGCATTGCAAGCCATAGTCTGAATGTCTTTTACACCGTCAGAGCTGGATATCCCATGCAGAGAAAGGTATAGTTGGTGCGCTCCCAGCGAGAAAACATCAGTAACGCCTTTTCGAGAGTCTCAGGTGCCATGGTATGAACAACGGCGTTGCTCTGGTAAACCGTTTTCCAGCCGTCGCTCAGAATACGATATGCTAGCTCCATATCTTCACCGTGTTTCAACGGTGAGCCAAGGAAGGTGCTTGTACATAAAGCGTCAATATGACATTGGACGGCATCTGCACGAAATGCAGAGAAGGCACCTGGAAGGATTGTGACAAAACCTTCAGCTGAAAGTGCCGAACGCGGCAGGTTACCGATATGGTCAAAGACAATATCAAGAAGACGCGGCAGAAGGCATGTAAGCGAGAAAGTAGTGTGGCTCGAGACGTTCAATACAGCCAAATGTCCAGCCACAGCACCGATCGAAGGATCCTTCATCAAAGGGCTCACGATGTTGCGAAGTGCACCCTTCTCCACCACGCTATCTGAGTCGAGGGATACGATGATACTTCCGAGTGCAGTAGCGAATCCTGATTGTATGGCTTTTCTTTTGCCCATGTTGACGGCATGCTGTAAGAGTCGAAGTGTTATACCGCACATGGAGACTGAACGTGCAGCGTCGTTCACATGTTTCCATGTGTCATCAGTAGAGCCATCATCGATGACAATCAGTTCAACCCTGTCTTTAGGATAGTCCGAGAGCTCGATAGACTTGATTGAGCTTTTAATGAACTCGGACTCGTTGAAGACTGGTATAACGATGCTGATAAACGGTAACTTGTCGTCTTTTGAGGCAGGCTGCACGGGTTCATATCTAATCCATCGCCAAACCATATGCACATACTCGATCTTATAGAAGATGGCGATGAGCTGCAATATTATTGCGGGCAACCCAACAAAAATGGGTGGGGGGGTTGGCCATGGTATGAAAGATAGAAGAAGCAACCCCAAAATGTTCAAGATGCCAAACAGAAGGCGAAGATGAAGGTGTGTCATTTCTCAGGTTGGGCCACGGGCTAGTTCTTAAGTTGCAAAGTAAAGGCTTAGACAGTGAATGAAATTAAATTTATCATCATTATGCTCAGAACTAAAGGAGCGGTTGTAAACGTTCATTTTGTTTCATTTAACCTGTTGTAGAAATTACCCGAGCATACGTTAAGTTTACTGCTAAAGCTTAACTTTCCTCAATCTGGTCAGTAAATCGGGCGACCTTTCCATCGGACCTTTTTTTATTGGTTAAGCGGAAATAAAACATTTCAAAAGGTATAAGGATGAAGAGTAAGATACTTCATAGGCTCGCCTTACGTTGAGAATTTGCCGAAACACTACGTAGTTACGGGAGTGCCTATGCTACTGTAACGTAGGCTCGGAATACGAGGTAAAATGTCTTCAAAAGTGACTTTATAAAGCATATAACGACTACGTGGCAGGGATCAGCTTTAGGAGCCTAGGTCGAAAGATTCTGCACTCTGCCAAGAGTTTCACACCGCTTCTTTCATTTAACATTTCTTCTAAGGAAGCCGACTTTCATGGTAATAACACTTCGAGGTTTGATTGAGATCGCTCACTAAGTGGTTGATGAAAGAGGAGGACTGCAAGTTTGTTGGGTAAACCTGGGTATTGATTAGGTAGTTGGGACCTCCGACTCAAGACTGGTTGGCGTGTTACAGATGCCACTTTGCAACACGTGGAGAAGACTAACGCTGAAAATCGCCGAGTTATTGTCTACAACTCATATAATCACGCTTGAATTGACAAAAAGCATAGCCAAAGTAAATGTATATATACAATTCACTTATTAACTCGATTTACTTGATATAATGTTCTATATATGCCGAGTTTCGCCGTCATATTCGCTCTGTACAGATCCAATAAGGGTACAGAAGAGCATTAATACAAGTCCTCTATGTTTAAGGCTGCATCATACAAGCGATAATCCCTTGACATCCTCCTGTCGTATATAAGCAACAAGCTGGGTCGTGAACCGTTCAGCTGCTGTGTCAACATATCTCGTCCAGATCTCAGCAAGTCCATATAAAACACCAAGCCAGACCGGCAAACAGAAGAGTAACCGCATATTGCCTGCATATTCAACCTTTGGAGAACCGCCTTCTGGCTGCTGAATCTGTAAATTGGGCGGTAGAGCAGTTCCACACACCATCCATGTGAGTAACCATCTTAGGAGTGTGCCATGCAGAAGGTACACCGCAAAAGACCGCTTCCCAAGCCATAGTAGGATACGATGTGATAGAATGTCCGTATACCCAGGGAGTAGGGCTCCACCGATTGTCAAAAGGCTGAACCCAAAGCTGGATGCAAATTTCGGAATTTCGGAATCCTTGGGAAGAATTGCTGATAGTATCCAATCTTGCGATCGTGACCAGTAAGCCCTTTCAATGTTACTTTCAGGGTATGATGCGATAAACAGGCCGATTGCCACGGACAAGAAACCGAGGATGGGGATGAATCGAGACTTGCTCCATGAGATGCGCTGGAACACTCGGGAGTTGTGCAAATCGTTCATGAAGACTCCCCACCAGAATTGCATGAAATATGCTACATATCTGTCAGCCATGTCCACAGCCGTCTTCTGGAGGAAGACTACTTACGTTCTGCACAACACCAATAGTAGCCCCAGAGAAGTAATGATGCACCCATTCTGAACTTTCCTTGCACCTTTGCAGTCGTACTGATAAAAAGAAGCACGAACATCCCGCCCTTGAAAAGTACAAAGAGCGTACCCTGGTGAACATCGTATTTATTCCCGACTCCAGTCCAAGTGTTGAAGACATTGACAAAGAGCTCTCTGACAGCCAAAGATATTGGTAACTTCTCTTGGGCTGTTTCAGTCAAATAGTAGCTGTCGGTCATCTTCGCGACCTGGAAGAGGCCCAGCTGTGTCGCAGTCCATGCGACAGTTGTTGCAATGGCACTAGGATATAACAGGCGTGGAAGTCGCCGAAGCGCAGACTTTGAAATGCAACTCCAGCCTGCTTCATAATTGCCCCGTCGAAATAGTGACAAAGGCTTCAATGCACATACATAGCCCGTGACATAAATGAATATAATCACGCCCAGTCTGCCCTGAATCATGATCCGAAGGAAAGGAAGTTGCAGAAGTCGTGGCCTTAGTCCTTTGCTCGAGACTGGAGAATAGAGATCAAGATCAAATGCACGTGTAACATGGGCGATCCAAACCAGCGTCGATGCAATGCCACGAAGCCCCTAGATACTGGTTAGCTTGCAGTTGCAATATCAAGCTTAGTAAACAACTCTTCTTGACAAGCTGTCTATAATTATCCCTGTTTTGTGTCTTAACATACCTCAATCCATTGAATGTGTTCATCTTGTTTTGAAGTCATATTTACTTGGTATTGCATATAAGACAAATACAAGAATAAAATCCTATTGTTAGTATAAAAAGTAAAATACTAATTTCTTAAATCGACTTTAGTAATATTATCCAAATTTATATAATAGAAGAAGTTTTCTGAGCATAATAATAACTCTATAAAAGGAAAATGATCCGATTTTCTTACTATCAGCCGTTTAACATGTATGTCAGCTAGTGGCCCAGTTACTTGGTCAATTCTCCCGAAAATACAGCCCAGTTGTTCCTACTGTATTCTTCACATGGGCATGCTGTTATGTTACATCGATATAATATTACCCGAGAGCCAAAGTTTGCAGGGCGTTAAACGTCATTCGTTGTTGCATTACTACCAGGAACCGGGTTCTTGCACGGATGAGCGCACGCTTCTCACTCCACTACTTAACGTTTGGTAGTCCCAACTCTAAGCGCCCTCACAGAAATCAAGGCAATGATGTGATGAAGGTAACATCGGAATACCCGCACTGATGTGGTATTAACAACTTGCCTTTGGCGGTGAAGAATGTTGACTTTCCAGTCGGTAGGAAAGCGTTGCCGTGAGCCGAGTGAGCCTAGCTCGGGCGGATTACTCGGAAGATTATATGCTACTTGTAAAGCATAGATCTGCAGCAAGTCTTGTGATAACAGATTTATACACAAGTAAGTATGTTAATACAATTCCTCGCTTGAAATTTTGCTGCACTCTCTTTCTTCTTTAGCTTTCTTATTTACTCAACGCCATAAAAGCTAACCCAAGTCATGTCTAGCTTACAACCAGCCTATAAAGGAATCTTGATCTTATTCGGAATCACTTTGGTTTTCTTCTAGTAAGACCCTCGGACTTTAGACTGGGGAGTTTCTAATCTTTTCCAGCTTCCAGAAAAGCTCTATCTATGGTTCATCGTTGAACCAACGCACAAAAGTATACAGTAAGTCACACCCAGCGTACCTCGCAACAACGAAAGCCCTCGATTAATGCCTGCAGGGCGATGTGTGGCACCACGAACTATCGCCCTAACATATGACGATAACCCCAATGAGGGGGTATACGACCTATTGACGCTCTTGAAAAGCTATAATGCAACAGCGACATTCTTCCCGAATGCTCCACACCATTACAATACGTTGAAATTGGATAAATACATCCATGATGCACATGCAGCTGGGCATCAAATTGGACTCCATACGTCAGTTGCACCGACGGTCGTACAGATTATTGAACTAATGCTTTCTTTAGGTGGGACCATATTAACCTAGATAATGTTGGGCATGAAGGGGCTTTGGATAATATTGTACGGTCCTGATATCCAATTGGCTTTTTTTAATGCTAATAGCTTGCAGGAGAAGATGAACGTATGGTTGTATAATGTAATTGGATCACGATCCAATTTCGTCAGGCCGCCCTATGGAGCATGTGAAGTTGACTGTAGAATGACCTTGACTGGTAATGGGTACAGAATTGTACAGTGGAACTTGGACACATTGGACTGGATCTTTGGAACAGGCGGCAAATTTGAGTCTAGCATCGAGATCATCAAGAATTGGGTAGGCAATCAGCCCGAAATCGACGAGGACGACTATGCAGGGCCCATCGTCTTAATGCATGGCCGTTACCACACAAGCGCCACAGTCGTAACGCAACATTTATTGGATTTATTTACCTCTAAGGGTTTCAAATTTGTATCTGTTTCAGAATGTTTGGGATTTGATAGGGAGTAGATCTATAGCATTATCTCTTGTCGACGTTTGATACCTGTACACAAGGACAAAGTATAATGTCTAGCCATCTGCCAACGCAAGAACACGTCAATCTCTATTTCAAGGGCAGGCTTGGCAGTACGTTGTTTCCGTCTGCTTCTGAGAACATAGGTGTCTGCAGCCTATGGTAATTCTCTGAATGACAGATTGATTTATTCTATCATTGAATGAATGGGTTGTTGCTCCCTGAAGTTGAACACTTTTGACTGTCCCACGTGAAGACATTCTGCCACGAAGACAGAAAATGTTAGGGCGTCTTATCTACCAAGGGGCCAATAACATAAACGCATCACTAGAGTCAAAGACGAGCCGCACGCAGGCATCGAGATCCCCTGACATAATCTGACTCTAGGGACCATGGAGATGAAAGACGTGACATTTTTCCTCTGTAGCAATATTCCCAAGTAGTAGCAAGCGTAGAGGAAGAGAGATTCACCCTTATCCCACCAGGCCTGCAGTTATTACAACCTTTCAAGGCTACGTAATCGAATACCTTCGTATTAGGCACTGTAACGCCCAACATCCCGCTAAAACAAAGCTCTAGTTGTATAAGGACGAAAATTATTCTAAGCTCTCAGAAATACAAGCGTTCAATGTTAGCCACAGCGATTTACCAGATATTGAGGTTCATATATAGGCCATTAAATTACGTGGCGGTCTGTTAATATTATTTGGAGCAAAAATTACTTGGCACTAAGTAAAAGGGGTCTTTACGTATATATGTTACGCCAGGTAAACAACTTGCAGAAAGAAATATGTACTTGGCATTGTGATGTAGCTCAGCTATCTGGATCACTAGACCTAAAAACTCCCTGTCCATATAACCACCTCTCACCTTGGAACAAAATCACGAATAGTAACGCGAGGACTTGTTCCGATCAACTCTTTAGCCATCTTAAAGTGTGACTTAACAGAAGTTCTGTCCGTTGCCATTGAAGTTACCAGACTGGTAAGCACCACCAGCATTGCCAAGGCAGTCAGCTACGAATTGTTAGCAACACTTTTTATATTTTCTCCCTTACTTGCCAAACTTACCAACAGTGACGAGCTTGAGGTTGTTCTGCTTGGCCCAGTTGATCAACGCAGGAGTGAGAGTCTGCACCGTGCTGGCGTAGGTCTCGTGCATGAGGGGAATGTGGCCGTTTCCACCAACACCAGCCTGCTGGAACTTCTGCAAGCTCTGCTGGGCCGACTGACCATTCCAGTCACCAGAGTCGACATCGTCGGTGATGACCTTGTATCCGAGCTGCTGCATGGTGGGCAGCACGTTACCGCCGGTGGCGAGGTAAGGAGGTCGCATGTAGGCGGGCTTCTTTCCAATGATGTTGACCAAGGCTTGTTCCACTTTCTGCATCTCCTGCTTCAGCTGGTCGGTGCTGAGACTTCCGAAATTCTGAGGGTGAGTCCAGGTGTGACTGGCGATCTGGTGACCCGAGTTGTAGGCCTTCTTGATGGCAGCCTGTTGGTTGTAGATGCAGCCATAAAGGGTGCCGGTCAAGAAGAGGGTGGCCTTGGCACCAGCGTTGTTGAGGATATCGACGAGCTGGCTGGTGTACTGTCCAGGGCCGTCATCGTAAGCGAGAGCAAGGACACCGGGTCTGTTGCATTGGCGGATAACAACACCAGCTGCCTGGCGGTTGAAGAGCTCTACTGGGTCCTCAATAGCAGCGCTGGCAACGGTGCCAACGAGCAGGAAAGTGCTGATAGCCGCCTTGAGAAAAGACTTCATCGTGGGTGAATATGTACAAAAAGATATATACGAAGTGAAGAAAGAGAAGTGATTAACAAGGGAGTATTAGTTGGTGCCAAGGAGTGTTTATATAGGGATGATCAACGATGCCTTGTTTCAACAAACAAAGTCTCCATTAGAGCCGGCCCGAAGCTATTCCTCTTGAGATCACAGCATTGCATAGATCAGTCAGGCCTTTGACCCCAGTAGGAATATGTCCTGAAACGCTGCTATGTGTTTTCAGGCTAAATTCGCGACCCCTGTGCCCCTACTAATTCAACCACAAACGGCCGGAATAACCTATGATTCGACGGGTGATTGCAAAGGGTCATGATACAGGGCAGCTGATAACAGCCGGGACCTGATCTGGAACTTCGGCATCAGTGCCACGTGGTTCGATAATGCGGAGACGCAATGTGACATGTTCCCATTTTGAGCTTCAGCTTTGACTTTATTTGATGATCCGGGCATTGTTCCTCCGGCATTGCAGTGCAAGCGGTTAAACTGGGCCGGTTTCACCCTTCGGAAATGAGTACTCGCTCAAGCTTTGGCTCCGCATAGAGATCCACAAGTCGATATCACTAGATAAGAGCAAGCTTCCAAGTAATTGTCAATTAATTCGGCTCTAAACTTGACAAGCTTCCTTGATTTTACGTACTTTACCCGGTGGCAAAATGCCAACCAAGTACACATATTGAACCCCAGATCTAATATATCACATTCCCCTCATTCTCTCAGCACCCAAACCTCTTTTGTATTGATATTGTAACCTCACCAACTTAGCCACGCCATTTATGCCGAGTTGGAAGGATAATCGATCGTGAAGTTGCCGAAAACCATGTCCATTTCTCGGAATGTCGATACCCGCACGGCTATTCCATGCTTTATTCTGTCGTGACCTCATCAAAGCTTGGAACCAGGTCTCCGCACTTTTCGGGCGTAAGGATGTCCTCCAACACGAACAAGATGGTCTACATCAGAAGTGTTTACGTAGTCAGGGCTGGCATCTGCCAAGTCGGTTAAGCCGCAAAGACGCATCGCGGTTTCCAACTCGTCTCGTAATACTTGGAGAATGTTAGTATTGGCCAGGCCGAAGGTGAAAGCGTTACATGAACTCCAGGTGGTCGTGACTTACTATTGAATGCGTGTTTGACGCCGTCTTCGCCGTAGCCTACTGAGTAAGCAAATGGTCTTCCAAGGCCAACAGCTGACGCTCCAAGGCAGACAGCTTTGAGTACATCGGAACCTCTTCTAAATCCGCCATCAACCAACACGACGATCTTGTTGAACACTTCGGGGCAGTTCTTATGAAGCTCCAAGAGTAGCAAAATAGCCGGAGGAGCTGTGTCTGCTGCGCGACCTCCGTGATTGCTCAGAACAATACCCTGAACACCATGTTGCATGGCCAGTTTAGCATCTTCCCATCGTTGAATTCCCTTGATAACAATCGGGAGGTCGACTTGATCACGGAGCCAAGTAATATCATCCCAATTCAGAGATGGATCAATGAATGAGCCCGTCTGACGTGCCAGTCCGGATCCTTTCCAATCTTCCCCTGGCCCGGCGTTCTCGCTTTTAACCCTCTCGTCAGCTTCTCGCTTGGACACCACGGGTAAATCTGCTGTGACAAAGACTGCCTTGATCTTGCCCGTTTTTGTGACCTTTCTCAGCAGGTCTTCTGACAGTTTTCGGTTCTTGTTCACATATAACTGGAAGAAGGCTCGTTCCGGTGTGACATCAAGAACATCTTCATGCGGGAAAGATGAGGGTGTCGCCAATGTCTGTATGATGCCCGTCTTTGCTGCTCCTTTGGCCAATGCGAGCTCTCCTTCTTCACCACCAGTCAAGGCCGCACCAGTCGGTGAGATATACACGGGCAGTTGGAGATTGCACCCAAACAGATCAACTGCGGTATTGACCCTTCGGACATCTCTCATCACTGCTGGCCGCAGCCAGATCCTTCCGAGGAATGAGGCGTTCGCGTCACGGGTGAGATTGTCGTTCGCTCCTCCGCTGATATACGCCCATTCCTTTTTTGCCAGTGCTGTTGATGCTACGTTCTCAAAGTCGTGCAAGTTGATTATGTCGCGCAGATGAGGTCTTTCATTAGGACTTTTTGGTTTCTTCTTTACCTGCCCATGGGATTCCAGTTCCTTCTTCTTGTTGCTCTTGGACACTTTGAGAGATCCGAGATGATATTTGGTATCTAGTGCTTTCTGCACCAATGATGGCGCGTGGAAACTGTTATATTCATCACTTGCATCCCTGCCAGCATATTGGTAGATGACTTCCTCGTGTTAGTCAATATACATTCCGTGGTCTTAGGAAGGTGTTAGTGACTCACTCTCGGCACCTCCTGGGTGATCTGGGGCAAAATCCGTGAAGTCATAGACTTTATCATTAATCGCTAACCATAGATCATCGGGTGTGTTATGCACGGAGATATCCTCCTCAGAAAATTGTTTCGACATTTTTAAAGTCTATTGAGATACAGTGTTACTGCAGATAGATGAAAGGAACGTCCTGCTCTTTCACGCGAAGGTTATCCAAGAGTATATTTAACGTATCGGAATTGCAGACGGAATTCTTAGATCCAAATGCCCGGAAACCATATCTCTGTATTCCGATTGGTGGATCTGATGCACCCCGCATTACCCATCCGAGGTAAAGCTTTGTCTCCTTCGGATACTACCCGGTAGCCTCGAATGCCTTTATATGCATTCGCTGTAGCCCGCAATCATTTCATAACCAGATTGGCATGTGTTTATTTCTCAAGCTGACACTGTGTTTACTGATCCAGAAATATTTTCAACATGTTGAGGTTAGATTTCAAGCTCTATATAATTGTGCAGCTTTTTTCCTGCAAAGACCTCAAGCCATTTCAATGTTCTAGCGTAAAAAGTATTGCGCGGATCAGATTCCTTAAACCACAACTCAGAAAAGAGAACAAGACACTAACTTCGGCTTGCATTTTTAATATCCAGGTCAATGACTGTCGGTGGAGCTTAAAAGCAACGAGCAGATATCATTAATTCAAGTATGAGAACATCCAACTTGGGCCAGATATAAACATTTTGAACATAGCGTCGGGAAATCTATGATCCGGATCATCCTAGCCATGCTTATCTTAGCATGATTTCCTTATCTAAAGCGGATCACCCACCAATTAGCTAGTTGCTACACATATCTAACTCTTTTTGCAAATGTACGCTAGCTAGGAGACAATAGTAACAGGAACGTGGAAAGCTGAAGTTCTTGAACTGGTATGCAAAATGAACTAGTTGTCAATAGCTTGTGGGGCTATATGTTACTATGTGGATTAGTTCAACGCCGCGAAGGCCTCGATCAACGCCCAAGCAAATCGAGACCAAAGCTACAAGAAATCGCTGGCTCCACATGCCTTACTTATGTAGCCAAACTGTCTAACAGCAAGTCTTATAAAGATGGCGTGGTCTGCAAAAGTTTTTGAGATATTATTTTACCTCCCAACTGGAGACTGTGACAAGATAGAACCCGAAGCCTGCATCGCCGATCCGTCAGTATGGTCAAAATACAGATTCTCTATTCATTGGCAGTTGCTGCCTCAGCTCTTGCTGCGCCCTCAGGGGTCTTTAGCTCCCTATTTTCGTCTCTCGATAGGCGAGCTTGCACCAGTCCTTCAAACTTGTTGAAAAACCCCGGCTTTGAGTCAAAATCTATTAGTAAGTTCAATCGATAATCAGCAACTCAATTCCCAACCTTTTCCGTTACTACTCATAAATTATTTATGGATAAGCCATTAACACCAGCCAGGTCCATGGGTCTATGCTCCATACTATCCAAAGCAAACCAGTCAGAAACTTGTAACATCTGGCTACAAGAGCGACCATGCTCTCCAGATCTCTGGTCTTGCCAAGACATCCAGTGAGATGGGCTTCAGCAGGCTTCAGCAGAATTTCACGACCTGCAAGGCTGGAAAGTACCAGTTATCATGGTCTATGTACCTTCCCAAGGGCGCAGCCCAGGGTATCGACCCCCGCACCCCTGGAATGACTATCTGGGTCTATGACCCCTCCGGCGCTGCCCAAGTAGGAACACTCTCCTTTGGTCCCAATTCTTTCAACAGCACAATCGGGTATCCCGTGAAACTCGGGAAGCACAAGGCGGGTGAGTGGGTGAACTTTTCGACGAAGCTGGCGAATAACTTGAAGGCTGGCAAATGTACCTTGGTTGTGAATTGGTTTGTCCCCGGCCAAGAGCAGGGCAATCCGAACGGAAAGCTGACGTTGAAGCTCGACAACTTTGCTATAAAGGCTGTTTAGAGTAGCTATAACGTACATGCTGGTGATTAGTGGCTTCTTATAAGAGCGACATATATACACCCTGGTCTTTCTCCCTGGACTTGGCAATAACGAGAATGTTGTACATATAGAACTCTGTCCCAAGAATTCCTTGTAAACACATCATTCACAAGTTTGAGATAGAGGTATGCTTAATAAGAAAATCACTATAATAGTCCAATTATGTTTTCTTGAGTGGTTACTGAGCCACCCCAGGATGACTGTGAAGGGATGAGACACAGCCCGGTTTTCCAAACTATTCAAGCAAAGGTCTATTTGTGTTTCTACATTAATATGCTAAGATGCAGCTGCAGCAATAAGTGCTGCGCCAGTTCCAGAACCGTCTCTTGTAAGTTCTATTTTTATTCTTGCCTCATTAGTCTCCCCGACTTCCTTAACGTCACGCAGAGCAGTACGCACGTAGCCCTCGAATGCGGCGTGAAACTCGAAAAGTGAGCCATCAACTGCAATATCAATCACCTCATCCGTTAGTTCGGAGGACTCGAGAGTGACTTTGGAGTCATATGAGGATCCGCTGGTCGATATCGGTAAAGGCTCCTGCGGGCGTATGCAGCCGAATATGCGCCTCATAAATCGTGCGAAAGAGGCTCGCAGGCTATCAGTCCGAGGTGTTGTCGGCTTCTCGTGTATCTCATGTGTGTGAGCTCCAAGGACTGTCTTCTGAGATTTGCCTGAGGTCTCAAGCCTGCCAGACTGGATGATGATTGCAGCAAGACCAGCGCCAACCAATCGAGCAGATCGCTGCACGATCGCAGTAGCCAGCATCTGGATAGTTCGTAAGTCCTTGGATGTCACACCTGTCGCCGCTAGAGTATCGGTGACATAAGACAAATCTGACTGCGAGTTCTCTGGTGTCGACTCTGCAATCTTTGTCAAGAATGCGCTTTCAATGCCCATGTGAATGTTCACAGGGCTTCCATCCTGATATGACATGTCCAATGCACCATTGCGACTCAGGTCCAAGAGTGCCAATCGCAGTAGCTCCCCGAGGTACATGCCTGAGACCATCTTTTCAAGAAGACCGCATCCAGGATCTGAAGAAGACTCGTCAACGAGTTTGTCGAACCGTGTATGAGGAAGGACGTTCAGCCCGTCATCCCACGATCCCCATTCTGTATTAATCACCATGATTCCGTCCCTCTGAGAGCTTTGGGTGTGATCGGCTGCTACGTTGAGTCTTTCGATATTTGACATGCGCTCAACATACGCAGCATTCGTGCCAGTCCCGAGGATTATAGATGCCACTGTTGAGTTCTTCGTTTTCGACGTATATGCCCTAGCAAGCAGTGTTCCAACTGCATCATTGGCCAGAACGCAAACTCGTACCGGTAAAGAAATCTCGTCAATTGCCTCCTGCAGTAAGGCGCAAGGATCTTGGCCTAGAGTGCTTGGGATATCCCATCCTTTGTCCCAGTGGACAAGGGTACCGCTAGAGATGGAGGTCTGTTCACAAGTGAAGCTAAATGTGAAGCCAAGATTGAAACAAGCCTCAGAGTTCTCACTACTTCCATCACTTGTATGCTCATGGAGAAGGTCTTCGATCTTCAGGGCGATGAAATGGAACAGAGGTTTGTGACTTGAATGTACTCGAATATCATGAGGGACAAGGTGCTTCCTCTGGAATACATCGAAAGTCGAGTTGCCATGAAGCTTAACAGCACACACTCGACAATTTGTACCGCCCAAGTCGACTGCAAGAAAAAGACCCTTCTCTCGGCCACTGGGGATTTGTGTGACAAAAGAGGGTATCTGATAAGCATGCTTGTCTTTTAACCCATGTTCTGATAGGTCAGGTCAGTGAATATACACAAGAAAACAAGCCACAATGCATACTTATCTGCTTAAGAAAATAATTCGTTATCTGCTGTATTTTCTCGCTCTCAACTTCAAACTCCTGGGCAACCGATTGAACAGTTGCCTGATGGCTGTCACCTAAGCCATCCTTCAACATGGCAAAGCAAGACAGGCAAAAGATAACGTAAAGATGGAAGCAATGAGTCCGGAACGCATTGCAAAGGCAAGATTAAAGACTAATACCAGAATTGTCAATAATTCCGTAGTCATCTCAATCTGCATGGACCATAATGGTGCAATCTCATTGCCAGGCTTAACGGCAAAGTCCGGCCCGGAAGCGGCCAACATCGGATTGAGTAGCCACATTTGTACTAGACCAGAGATGACTAGTTCGATAAGACACCAGGGAAATATCGGTCACTTCGCCGTTCTCTCCTCCCCGCACATTTCTTGCTTCATCCACTTTGCATATGCACAACCACTGAGCAGAGCAGACATCCACATACACTACAGGCCACTTTGACACTCGATCATGACATTCGGCGAAGATTCCCGTCCTCTGGACCGCGACGCCCCAGATGAGGCTTCAGCGCTCAAGGCCCGCAAGGCTTGCAGTGGGTACCCCCTGTCTCTGAACCTATCGGCACCAGATGATCCAAGACATCGAATGCTGATTAAGCTGCCAAGTAAACTGCCGGAAGCAAAAGATGAAATGCGTCCTCCAGGGTAGCAGCGAAGCATGTCGTCGATGTCGTCGAGCAGGACTTCCTTGTGTGTTTGTACCTAGAGCGAATGCAGCTCAGTTACCCTCGCTCTCAGGGACTCTGGATCTAGATTTCAAGAACAACGTCCTATCTAGGCTGAAAATTGTCGAAGAAAGGCTGTCCATTGTAGCCGATGGTGATATGGATTTTGGTGCTGTGGGAATGTTCTCTGCAGTTTCCGAGCAGTCACCAGAGCCAACGCCCGATGGACCGCTCTGGAATGCGATTGTACTGCTACAGAGGTGTTCCCCAGCCGTACCACCATCGATTTGGCAACGTGATACTATTGAGTCGCTTTGGTCCTCGTACGTTTCTTCTCTTTTCAATGTAAAAAGTCATTAGTAACGTCTGTTGGTTCCAGCTTTCATGACAGGATGCCAGGACTGCATTTCATGCCCGATAAGCAAACATTTTCGACGCCTCAACCAGTCCTACTTGCATCCATTCTCTATTGTTCAAGCAGACGTGGGCCACCAGACGTGTCAGAAATTGCTCCCCAATTCTTCACCGTTTTGTGCAACGCTATCGCCCAACTGAGCATTCCCAGCAGTGAGATTGGGACACCTAGAGAGTCAACCGTCTCCCAAGAGGAATGGGCTTTCCAGACTGTTCTAGGTATAGTCCTTGCTGGTTTGCTGACTGAGGGTAATATAAAAGAAACTGGAAACTGGATTGCTATTGGCTACCGACTGATGCTAGACTATTGCCCTGCTCACGTTGATGACACGTCGAGAGAATGGCGCAAACTATTCAGCGGCATTCAGATCGTTGACTTGGAGCACTCGTCGATTTACCTCTCCTGCCCAGTGATTCCCATCGAAGCGCCACTGCCAATTCTACGCATGTCACCCCTCGATCAGTTATACAAGCTTTCACGTATGATGCATACGGGGTTGAGTCACTTTACTGGGCGAAGACTACCAACTATCTGGTCCTGTTTTCAGGAATCGAGCCTGAGCTACCATGGCTCAGCCACGAGTTTCACTGCCATCGATGGAATCCTTATTAAAGATTGGGCAAAGCAACTAGATGACTGGCTTCAGGAGTTCAAGGGGAAGATGACGGAACCTGATGACCAAAGCAGCAAGTTGGTTCTCCGTCAATATGTCCTCCATCGACTACTTGTGCTATCAATATACCATCCTGCCCGAAGCGGCAATCTTTGGGCGCATAGCATAACGTCGAATGAGCAGGAAGAGCTACTCCTGTCAGCGAGGGCGACCCTCAAGCTTCACCAGCATGATGACTCCATCTGGGCTAACTGGGATTTAATCATGATAACCTGGGCGGCTTTGATCGTTCTGCAAGGATTGCAAGGAGGAGTAGGGGAGATAGATGGTATGCATTATCGTGCATATGCGATTCAAACGCTGACCGCTTTCTAGATATGAGAAACATCAGGTTGCACCTTGATATTCTAAAACAAAAGAATGAGCCCAAGCCCAGCCTTTGCGATAAGCTTATTGCGCGACTAGAGGACAGCCTCCAAGACATTAGCACGCCCGATTTCACCTACGTGCAGCCAGGCCATCCTACAGTCATGGACCCCACGTTTGATTACTCTTGGCAATTATTCGATCAAGTCAATCTGCAGCAGATACAATTTCCTGGATAAATAAAACTACCGATCTATCTAGCAAACTTGACCTCACATTCCGACAGGGAAAGTTACAGACCGAACCCTCATGGTGGGCGCTATACGTGACGCCATGTTATCAGGCTTGAGGTCGCCATCTTCATCCCCGCCAGCTGTCAGTGTGGGTGATGGAGGAAGGTGGCCCGAGACCTCCCTCTGCCTGATAGTCTTTTCGACTCCGTGAAAATACTGCTACTCGTCAGTATTGATTTATGGAGACAACTTGGGTTCTGCACTCACGTTCACCGTCTTTACCTTCAACTCGAGGGTAGCATCTTTGTCCACCACTACCATGCTCTTTGGGTGTAATTGAAGACATGAGAGTGTGCAGAGATGGCTGACTCCACCCTCGACCGCCTGTTGAATAGCAATGGCTTTCGAGGCCCCGGTGGCAATGATGACCACTTCTCGTGCATCCATAACAGTCTGCACTCCAACAGTCAGAGCCATGTCAGGAACCGCTTCGATATCATTGTCAAAGAATCTTGCATTTGCAATCCGGGTCTCATATGCAAGAGACTTGATTCGAGTTCGGCTGACAAGACTGGAACCTGGTTCGTTGAATGCGATATGACCGTCTGTTCCTATACCTCCAAGGAAGAGCTCGATGCCACCGAATGACTTGATCTTATCTTCATAAGCCAAGCATTCACTGAAGAGGTCAGGGGCATTCCCATTGAGCAAGTGAATATTTTCTTGTTGGATGTCGATGTGTTTGAAGAGATTGTGGTGCATGAAAGAGTAGTATGACTCAGGATGCTCGCGGGGTAGGCCGACGTATTCGTCCATATTAAATGTCACGACATGTTGGAAGGATATCTGGGAAGCTCGGTATGCTTTGATCAAGTCATTGTATATATGGAGAGGGCTGCTTCCAGTGGGTAGGCCGAGGACAAATGGCTTTTCGGGTGTAGGATTGAAAGCACGAATTCGATCTGAATTATTGCAATATCAGCATGTTTTGTTGTAATCTAGATTGGAGTTTGTTTCATATAAGCAGGCAAAGCTTACTGATGATATAGTCAGAGATGTATTGGGATGCCTCTTTAGGGCCTTCGCGGATCACGAGACGCATCTTGGGTCAAAAATCTGGATAGGTATTTGAATAATAGTAATTTATCGATAATGTAAACTTGCACACAGTCTACATTTTAATTCAGCATCAACTGGTAAATGGAACTTATACACTTCTCCATCACTTGCCAAACTATCCATTGTCATTTGGGTATGATAGAAGCAAGGGAGAAGCCCGAACTTTGCCGGTGCGTAAACTGAGTCAAACAGAGTTTCATGGAAACCACTGGTCCGGGATACTACGGTCATTCTGCGGTTCCGGTTCCTTGGGTACGGCACGCTAACAACTTCAAGTTAGCTCCTTGTCGGCAAATGATAAAAATACGGCGAACAACCAAATGCCACAAAAGACCCCCCTTGGAACATGAGTCAAGAACCGATCCAGCTGAACTCTAATTCTGAACTCCTCTTTATTGACATCTGCTATGTTACACTACTACCAATAATCTACCAGAAACATATTAACCCCATTACTCAGTGTTGCATCCCGCCCCTTGTCATTCTAGCACGTATAAGTCATGTCCAAAGTGACACTAGGAGTACCCTTGAATCCCTCAGGCACCGCGTACGAGATGTTGTAAATCCAGTGATCCCTCAGTGTAGCTCCATAAACGACATCCTGCTTCACCAATCCTGGTGCAGTAACGTTCACATCAAGACATGGCAGCTTCTCAAGGCCCTTGACAACGTTCTTGCCGCCAAGAGTCCAAGAAGGAGGAATGCCAGTGAGGGCAAAAGTGAAGATGTTGGCTCCATCCTGTGTAGTGTTGGGATAAGACACAGTCAACTTGTTTGCTTCCGCCTTTGCGTTCAAGGTTGACGCGCTGGGGTACAGCGAGAAGAAGCCCATGTACGGGTAAGGCTTGTGAGAAGGATCAGAGGCCCACTGCACGATAGCTGGGACATACTGATTACCTCTGTTCTTGGTCTCATTAACGGTCTGACCGCCAATCATGAGCTCAGCACTGAGCCAAGAGGTAACGTGGCGGGGGTTGTTCGAGTCAAGCTCCTCGTAAATGGTCTTCTTGATGAACCGTGTACCCTTCCACTTGCCCTTGGACTTGATAATGGCCTGAGCATCCTTGGAGATTGTGGGCGCGATGACATCCATGACAAGTGCAAGCGCAGCACCTTGAGCGATGTCGTAGAGCAGATCGCCTTCTCCGAGAGGAGGCTGGCCTCCAACGCCGCGTCCATAAACACCCCAGAGAACCATAGAAAGAATCTGAGAATGAGTGGTGGCATCACGGCTGTAGGCACGATCGTATGGCCCAACCATGTTACCGAGATAAGGGTTGTAGTGAGCAGCAATGTCCTTCCACATCTCCCGCAAAATGAACTCTGAGTTCTTCGTCATGGGAGCATCCTTGGGCCCATATGCAATGTTTGCCGCAAGAGCCCAAATGTCAATGCCGTAGTAGTTTGGTGCATTGTACTCAGACAAGGCATTCTGGCCGCCTCGCTTGAAAAGCTTCAGAAGATCGTTGCCCTGCTCCTTAGCAAAGTTGATAAGGACTTTGTTGTTCTTGCGCTTTCCGACCCAGCCAGTGGTGAGGGCTCGCATGATGCCCGGGTTGGAGTAACCGAGAATCAGGTTGTCATCCAATGGGAAAGATCCATTGCGGCGCATTCCTCCAATTGCAGCAGCCTCAAGTGCGTCTTCGATGCGAGTTTCAAGGCCAGCTGGCAGAAGGTGGCCAAATTCCTCGACAACTTGGATGAGTTGAGTACTGATAAAATCGTCAGCGTCTAATATTCATCACTGATAAATAATTGCTTGAGACTTACCCAACAAATTCTCTCCAGTTGGGATCATAACTACCATAGATTGTAGGAGGATAGAGAGGCCCATCAGGAGTAGGGTCAGGCTCATCTGGTGATAGTTTGAAAGTACCATACCAAGCTGAGTTGAAATCACTGTTCAGTTGGTTTGCCAATCTGATAACAAAGTCAGTCTAGTGATCTTGATGAGGCTGGCGAGTATCTGACTTACACATTCTCAATGGCCTTGACAGCAGTCTTGACATCATCGCCCTTGGCGCGATGCAATAATCCTGGAATGTGCCAGGCTGTAAAGCGGACAGACCATTGGCCATTGTCCTGGTACCAGACGTAACCATAGCTTGAATCATATCGGGAATCCGATACCTGCATAGAGTAATCGAACAGGCTCTGCGCAGCTGTAGACTTTGTTAACACAAGTTGCACGAGTGGAAGCTTGACACAAACCTGGTGTAAGCTTTTGGCCATTGCTGTTGCGCTTGGCTAGGCTCGCTGCAGACGCTGCGGAGCCGAAGGCCAAGAAAGTGGTAGCGAGTGAAAGAAGACCCATATTGAATGTCTCAACTTGAAGTGATACGGCAAAAACAAATAATGGACCTGCAAACTGGAACAGACAAAGAAATGAGTGGAAAAACAGCCCCTCTTAACATGACTCCTGATCAACAGTCTCTTTCCCCAGATCATTCCCAAACCCTTGGGATAGGATGGGCAAAACCGGCGAATGACACCGGCGATTTTGACCCTCTTGGGAACTTCTCCGCATTCTAACCTTGCCATTCATCGACTAGACTAGTTTTATCAGGCTAGGAAACAGCTGATGAACGCTCACTCCACACTTGATAGCGGCCCCAGCTTTTGATGGGGCAGCAAAAGTTCATGCAAGTTCAATAATGTCTCTCTCCCTAAGTGGATAAACACGGAACTGATGCGCAATTGTTCCGTTCATTTTGTATTGTACTTGTTCCTTGGGGATATGCTTCTTTTGTACTGTTGTAACGAAAAGCATATATCTACGCCAGCTTGTTAATGAATGTGGTCCGACAGTTGTAATGACTCAGGTCCAATTCCATGAGCATGCATGGCAAAAGTCCAAACTCTAACTTCGTTACCCGACACGGGGGGACTTATTTTCGCATGCAATTTCGGCTCCGAGTGCCTGGTTGGACCCTGATCAGATGATAACGCTAACCAACCAGGCTAGAAAACAGCTCGAGATTGGCTCCGGCAAAGTTCGGTGGACTCTCCGATGCTAATCACTTCCATCCTTGTCTGTCATGGTCGCGTGCACTCTGGGGACTAAGCTAGCTCCCCCCATGGGGGTCCGATAATAGTAACGTCGCGGGGATCACCGGCCCACAAGAGATACGGTATCGGGCACAGATGGTAGATAATGCTACCTTCTCTCCCCTCTCTCGTTTTGCATGCCTCCAGTCAAACCTCATCTCACCCTCGTATCACAATGGTTCAAGCACAGGCTTCTCTTGCTCTCGACGACCAATTGGCCGCTGGCTGGTTTGGCTGGCTGACCAATAAGGGCATCCTCAAACTCAATGCGATTCTCTGCCTTTCGCTGATCTCCAGTTATGCCACTGGTTACGATGGAAGTAAGACACCCAACTACATGGCTTTGTGTAAAGTTACCTTGAATAACCACTTTGCTAGGTATGATGAATGGCTTGCAGAGCCTGGATACGTGGAAAGCATCCTTCAATGATCCCGATGCCAATAAACTCGCCATGTAAGTCTTGACCGTTGAGGCTTAAAACTTGGCACCTTGTCAAGTCTCTTGGCTCCATGACTAACCTGACCCACTCCAGCTTGAACGCAATTCAGAACATCGGCCAACTCGCAGCTTTGCCATTTTGTGCTTGGTTCTGTGACAAATATGGTCGTCGCCCTGGCCTTGTCGTTGGAGCGACTATTATGCTTCTCGGTGTTGGTCTTCAAGGTGGAGCCCAGAATACGGGGATGTTCATTGCTGCTAGAGGTATTCTCGGTTTCGGCTTGGCCTTGAACATCACAGCTGCACCTGTTCTGATTATGGAGTTGGCGTATCCCACTCAACGAGCGCCTATGGTTTCCATATACAACACTCTTTGGGGTCTTGGTGCTCTCTCCGCAGCTTGGATCACTTATGGCACCTTCAGAATCAACAGCGACTGGGCTTGGCGTATTCCTTCTATCCTTCAAGCATTATCCAGTTTTCTCCAGCTTGGTCTATGTTTCCTCATCGACGAGTCCCCTCGATGGCTGGTCGCTAAAGAGCGCGAGCCTGAGGCCGAGAAGCTTCTTATCAAGTATCACGCCAACGGAGATAGCAGCAACCCAGCAGTGGCTGTCGAGATGGAGGAGATCCGAACTGCCATTCGCTTGGAGAATGAGGCTATGGTTTCCACCAGCTACCTATCCTTCTTCCAGACCAAGGGTAATCGCCATCGTTTCTTCATCATTCTCGCAGTCGGCTTCTTTAGTCAATGGAGTGGCAACGGCCTGATCAGCTACTACTTGACCTTGATTCTCAACTCAATCGGCTACCGATCTCAGGAGACGCAGACTCTCATCAACGCGTTACTGACTGTCTGGGGATTGTTCTGGGGTGTTGTGTTTTCTCTTATGGTCAACCGCATTCCCCGCCGTGCTCTGTTCCTTTTCTCGACTCTTGGTTCCCTGGCAACCTACATTGTCTGGACAGCTCTCGAGGCTACCTACGAGATGTCAACCGACCTCAACGATGATGGAACTGGAGGCCCAAGTGGCATCGCCAAGGGTGTTCTTGCCATGATCTTCCTCTTTAATGTCTTCTTTACGGCAGGTTGGGGTGTTCTGCAAGTGACTTATGTTGTTGAAATCCTTCCTTTCAACCTTCGTGCAAGAGGTCTTGTTTTGTACAACCTGTTTGTGGCCTGCGCTCTAATCTTCAACCAATACGCCAATCCGATTGGTGTTACAAACTCGGGCTGGAAGTATTACATCACTTATGATGTTTGGTTGGCTGTAGAGGCTCTTGTCGTCTACTTCCTGTTTGTTGAGACACGTGGCCTGAGCCTGGAGGAGACGGCATTGGTGCTCGATGGTCCCGAGATGGGAGACAGACTCGTCGGAGAAGTTCTGAAGAACACGGAAAAAACTGTTCAAGTTATTGAGACTGAGAAGCGAGCGTCCATATAAAGGCATGGACATAGTCACAGTTTGATTTTAAGCAGTCGAGGCTGAGGTATAATTAATTGAGTCTTCTGTATTGAACAATAATCATTCTGTATACGGCTTGTTATAGTGATTTACAGTTAACTATTCAATACTCGAACTATTCACCTTAGGACAGTAACAACTGCTCACAAACTAATTCCATTTTGATTTCTCATCAAGGATAACTGTGAAAACTTGGTCACCTAACCTATAGTGTCTATACTAGCTTCACAAGTGAGGGGTTTCCTGCACCTCGCTCGAGTCATTGCTGTGGATGTTCGGTTTGCCGGCTTTTTTCGGCGAAAGTGGGGGTTTTCGTCTTATCGTCCCCTCAATCAGTCCACCTAGTGTCATCACCAAACTCCATGGCAGGTTCCTGATCTGCTTAGTATGCATATAACACCATTGCCATCTTCTCAATACACATACAAACCAAGATTGGTTGTAAATTCAACAAGTCTTAATCATTAATTATGGATTCAACCATCGACAAGCCAGATTACGAAAACCTCGAGGTGATACAGAGAAATAGGCTTGCTCCCAGAGCCTACTGGTTACCTCCTACGCATCTCTTGCTCAATGGAACATGGGACTTCCAATATGCTCCAACACCCGCAGAAGCCTCAGAATACCCCCCAAAGAATGGAAGCTCTGAAGAGGCTTGGTCCGCGATCAATGTCCCGGGCCATTGGCAATTGCAGGGGCATGGTCATCCGCACTACACCAACGTCCAATTTCCATTTCCGTCAAACCCTCCTTACATCCCAACTGAGAACCCCACGGGAACCTACCGACGACAATTCACGATTCCTACTGAATGGGATAGCACATCTCAACTTAGACTGCGTTTTGATGGTGTTGATAGTGCGTATCACGTTTGGCTCAATGGCTCCTTTGTCGGATATTCGCAAGGTAGTCGCAACGCTGCCGAATTCGATATCACAGGCATCGCCAAGAAGGACAGTGATAACGAACTGGTGGTGAGAGTCTATCAATGGTGCGAGGCGTCATACATCGAGGACCAAGACCAGTGGTGGCTATCGGGTATCTTCCGCGATGTGACTATACTGGCACTCCCTGGACAAACTAGGATTGAAGACTTCTTTGTCAAGACAAACCTTGATGATAGTTACGAGAATGCCGTTCTCCAAGTCGATGTCACATTGAATAAGCCTGGCCCTTCATCACTTGAACTTCTCCTCATTCTTCGAGATTCAGGTGTCGAAGTCGGTTCAACACGCAAGACGGTCAATGCCAACAGTGAGGTCAAATTTGAACTCCCTGTTTCAAGCCCAAAGAAGTGGACTGCAGAAAGCCCTTACCTTTACCAGCTCGAGATTTCTCTCCAGACACAGGGAGGAGAATCAATTCAGACCATTGCACAGAATGTTGGCTTCCGCAAGGTCGAACTGAAAAAGGGCCTCATCACTGTCAACGGCTCACCGATCCTCCTTCGGGGCACGAACAGACATGACCATCATCCAATCCATGGAAGGGCTGTTCCTTATGAGTTTCTCAAACAAGACCTGCTGCTCATGAAACAGCACAACATAAATGCCCTCCGAACAAGTCACTATCCTGGCCAGCCCTGGCTGTATGACTTGGCTGACGAGCTAGGATTTTGGGTTATGGACGAAGCTGACCTAGAATGTCATGGCTTTTATGATGTTGTTACTCAGCACGTCCAACCTGCTCCATATTTGGATTATGAAGGTAGCAAGGAGGAGTTCTTCCCCAAAGCAGCCCAATTCACCTCTGATAATCCAGAATGGCGTGAGTCCTACCTCGATAGGATGGTGCAGATGGTGCAGAGGGATAAGAACCATCCTTGTATCTTTTCATGGTCTCTTGGCAACGAGTCCTTTTACGGTGTCAACCACGTCGCAATGATTGAGTACGCACGAAGTATCGATGACCGACTTATTCACTACGAAGGCGACATCAAAGCACAAGAGACTGATATGTACTCTTACATGTACCCTGATCAAGATCGACTCAAGAGACATGTAGAAATAGACGGCATCAAGGATGGGGAGTGGGAGAAGCCCGTGATTCTTTGCGAATACGCTCACGCTATGGGCAATGGCCCTGGAGGTCTGGATGACTACCAGGATGCATTCCGTAAGTATAAACGTCTTCAGGGTGGTTTCATCTGGGAATGGGCCAACCACGGCCTCTTGCACAAGGACGGCTACTATGCTTACGGAGGCGACTTTGGTGACGAGCCAAACGATCACACATTTGTCATGGATGGTCTCTGTAATAGCGAGCACAAACCGACTCCTGGCCTGATTGAGCTGAAGAAAGTATTCCAGCCCATCAACTTCAAGTACGAGGATGGAAAGGTGTCCATCACTAATGAGTATGACTTTATCAACCTGGACCATTTGGAGGCAAAGTATGCCATCAAGGCATATGGCGACAAGTAAGGCAACATGCAAACATAGAGAGATGAAGCTAATCAAAGATAACCAGGCTGTCTTTGCTCGAGTCGGGCAAACTCGCCGTTCCAAGCGTCCAACCCTGGGATACTGTAGAGCTTGCTCTCCCCGTCGACCTGACTCGGTATTCGGACCACGAGGAGGAAGTTTTCTTGAGCCTCTCGTTTAGTCTCAAGGAATCTGCGTCGTGGGCACCAGCTTCGCATGAAGTCGCATGGTTCCAGCACAAGATCTCCGCCGACAGACAACCCAGTATTCCTGCCGGTCTGCCAGCTCACGCCGGAAGTGTTAAGGTTGTCGAAACCCGAACCAAGGTAGAACTGTCCGGCTCGGACTGGAATATTCATTTCGATCGCGTAAGAGGCTACATCACCAAATGGTCTCACGGATCAGATCTTTTAGAAGTTGATCCAGTCAATCGCGCGGCAATTTATCCATGCTTCTGGCGCGCGCCGACAGACAATGACAAAGATAGCGCCGTCAGCGTATGGAAGGATTATGGTGTTCACCGAATGACGTCTCAGCTGAGATCGTTCAAGCTTGAGAACGGCACAGACGGCTCTGGTGTCAGTATCGAGACCATGACATACTTTGCGCCTCCAGTTTTGGGATGGGGATATGACATTCGCACTGTTTACCACATATCGTCGAAGGGCGTCTTATCGATAAACCTTGACCTCAACCCTAAGGGGGTATTCCCAGCTGACGTACCTCGAGTTGGTTTGAACATCAGATTGCCAAAGACTCTCAGCCGAGCATCGTGGTTCGGTCGAGGTCCGGGTGAGTCTTATCCTGACAAGAAACACTCACAAGCCATTGGAATTTGGTCTTCGGCTGTTGATGACCTCGAAGTTCCATATGATGTCCCCCAAGGGAATGGAAACAGAATGGATACGCGTTGGGTGCGGCTTGTGGATGCAGATGGTCACGGAATCAGAGCTTCCAGGCTTGATGCCAGCACCTTCAACTGGACCGGCAGCCGTCTGTCAGATCAAACTATCGAGAACGCAAAGCATCCTTGTGATCTAGTTCGCGAAGACGCTACGCTACTTAATCTGAGTCCGAGGGTTGCTGGTGTTGGTAGCGCTACATGTGGACCTGGTGTGCGGGACGATTTATTAGTCAAGGTTAAGCCTGAGACATATGGATTTGTGTTGCAGAGTTTCTAGGCTGGATGGTATAGTTAATTGGAAGTATAATGTTCTTTATAAGTATTACTCTTGAAGCCACTTGCCGCCTTTTACTAGTGGCCGCAGGTTATCATCGAACTCATAAACAATCGGTGTTCCTGTAGGGATGTTCAACTCCACAACCTCTTCATCCCCCAAACAATCGATGATTTTTACCATTGCACGAAGTGAGTTGCCATGCGCCGCAACAAGCACAGTCTTGCCAGCTCTTAAGTCAGGAATGATATACTCCTTCCAATACGGTTCCACGCGTTCTACCACGTCTTTCAACGCTTCCGTCCTTGGCGCTTGAATGGATCGGTCTTGCAAGCGCGTATATTCCTGCTGTCTCCGGTAGGCATCGTCAGCCATTGGTGGCGGCTGAACATCGTACGAGCGCCGCCAAATCTTGACCTGCCCATCGCCGTATTTGTCCGCCGTGGTCTTTTTATTGAGGCCTTGTAATGCGCCGTAATGGCGCTCATTAAGCCTCCAGCTTTTCTTAATGGGAACCCAGTGGCGGTCTGCGACGTCAAGTGCAATATTGCCTGTCGTAATTGCACGTCGCAGCAGCGAGGTATGGCTCAAGTCTGGTAGGTGATTGTGTTTCTTCAACAGCGCCCCAGCCTGAGTTGCTTCAGCGCGGCCGTTTTGAGTGATACCCACGTCTTCCCAACCCGTGAATAGGTTCTTTTCATTCCATGTGCTCTGGCCATGTCGAAGAAGTATTAATTTAAAGGTCATCATGGATTTGACAATTGGTTTTACTTGGGATTTGAAGTAAAACAACCGCCGTTCTATCGGTGTTTTATAATACCTTGATGAACATCCGAGAGTTCCGTGTAGCGCAACTGACGTCACAAAGGAGTGGCGTTTGAGCGAGAAGGCCAATTGTCTGTTGGTTGGTCAGTCTTTTGTCCTGCATGGCCAGATAGCTCATGGGTCGAGTCTTGGCTAAGATGCGCTGTCGACGTGGTTACCGCATTCACGAGTTCAAATTCCCGCGCACTTACAACGTCAATTCCCGCGCATTTATAAGTTCAAACCATACGTTCATGCTGAGTAACCTGTTCGTGGAAGAAGAGCTCTTCAAAGCAACGTACAACTATGGCAAGAACCAAAAGTTATGCGAACAACTCGGCTGCAATGGCAAGATTGTGTGAAGGCGTGGTATTCAAGACTTAGGACCAGGTGCAGACTTGCCATACACTCTGAGCTGGTGGCATGATCCAAAGGCGCAGATTGCGCACAATAGTGTTGAAGAAACATTTTTCAACGAACAGTGTCGATTGATCTGAAAAGCTATGAGATGATTCTCCCTTATCTTCCCCAACCAGCGCTTCTTCCAAATGCTCTCAGTGCAGCGTTGACCTCTTTATCCAGTCCAGTCTTTTTATATCCATATGAAGCCAGTCCACCAGTCTTAGCCGCTGTGGCTTTCAAGATCTGCGAAGTTATACCGGGAAATTGAAAGAACTCTGTAGGCTTAGGTGCGAGAACGGAGCGTACACCTGCGAAAGCCCTAAGCTTAAATGGCTGACCATCGAACTTGTTGATGCCAGGCAGCTTATTTGGTGAGCTGGGCGATTTACATCCAATAGCACCTACAATAGCACCCACGAAAGCGCCTGTTGCAAAGTTGGAGCCTGCGTCGGCGAAAAGGTCGTGATTAGTTCCGTAAAATGTGTTGGATACACTGCGCTCTGTTGCTTTCGTGAAAACCGATGCTGCGCCTCCGAGTAGCGCCTTGCCACCAACGCTTGCAAGCTTCCCAACAACTGAGATAGTCTTGGGAGCCAAGTCCAGTCCTATCTTGGAGGCTAGTCGGCCTGTACCGGCCATAGCTCTGGCCGGAGTTGCGACGGCGCCGAGAGCACCCGTGGCACCCCCGATGAGAGCATTGATAGCCACTGTGGTTCCGAAACCGCCCCAGAACTTGCCAGTGTCTTCCTCATTGCGGTTATCGATAGAATAGGTGATACCGGCTAGGCCACCAGCGCCTAAGGCTCCGACAGCCGCAGCGGCAAGGACGCCGGCTGCACCTCCTGTCGCCACAGTTAAAGCAATGGCGCCAACAATCATAACTGCACCGAGGGCTACGCCTGCTATCGCCGACCAACTCCAATGACCAGTAGGGTCGACATGGTTGATGGGGTCGTTGTTCTCAAAAGCATAGCGATTGAGCCCATCAGTTCGTATCAAGAGATCCACATCGACAATGTCGTCGGCAGTAGTGAAACGGCCAACTAGAGGATCGTACCATCTGCCCCCAAAGTCCAAAAGCCCAGTGTCCTCGTCAAGTGTTTTTCCTTCGTAAGTGCAAGTTCTGTCGCGCTCTTTCGACGTGTCCAGATCCTCGGACTCCAAGGACCCGTAATCATCATAATCAAGCTTCTCCTGCAACTCGGCACCTTCACCCTTGTAAATATGAGTGATGTTACCCTTGGTGTCAGCAAAGCAGAGGTTTGCAGTTCTTCGGCCACCTCCGAGTGGACGCGATGATGTCGCTGATTCATACATGTTGGAAACTGTCCCCAGCAAGAACCCTTTCCCGAATAGCTTGTGACGAACAATTCGCAAACCGTCTACCAGGGAGTGAATACTGAAGTCTGGGCTCACCATCAACTCCCATGATCCGTCAGAATGTTGGCGTTGCAATGTTTCTCCCTCGAAATCGGTGGTTATCTCAACAGAGGTAGCGTCCGTCTCGTTCTTGTACGACTTGAGCCATCCAAAGCTATCATAAATGAAGTTAAATGTTGACGAACCGGCGGTTCTCTTGATCATGCGACCGCTAGCATCATAGCACACATCGAACAAAGACTTTCCATCCTTTGTTCCACGAGCTTGGCCTGATGCGTACTCAATATCAACTCCGCGCTTATGCGTCAAATTACCCGTAGCATCATAAGCGTAAAGCTTCTCAAGCCCGCCTCCTGAATTGGAAGACAGTAGTCGCTGACCTTGATACGAGTAGTCGGTAGTAGATCCAGATAAGAACTCATGTCTGCGTGCAAGCTTGTCGGAGTCATTATACATGTAATGCTCTTCGACTAAACGAGAATCTCCAGAATCAAGGCTGTGCTTAAGTGGAAATCCTTGCGCATCATAGGCCCAGTTGTGTGTAAACCTGTCCTTGAGTCCTGTTCCTTGTACATTGATCCTTTCAACATTCTCAGCAGCGCCGTATTTCTCCATGTCAGCTTGCAAAGACCAGGTCGAGGCTGACCCACCAGACAGCACGCTTGACTTGGCTAAGCCGCCTTGGTATTCATTCTCAAGTACCGCTCCATCAGGGAAGACTTTTCGTGTAATGTCGCCCTGCCAATTGTACACCATTGTAGTGATATAGCTGGTACCGTCTGCGACAGTCAATTTGCGCTGGCTGACCCGACCTTGGGAATCATATACAAAATCGAAGCGACTTTCCAAATGCGATTGGCTTTCCTGAGGGTAGATGAGAATAGAAGATGGCTTATCGACACCAGCAGACTCATACAGGTACACTACTGCGCGTCCATCTTTGCCCGTCTTTCGTAAAGGGCGTCCCTTGGCGTCTCTTTCATATGTAATGATATCACCAGAAGCGTTGGACTCAGAAATAAGATAGCTTGCGGCATTGTATAGGTACGTTGTCGCAGACCTTTCAGCCGAACTAGTATTCTGATATTTGTTGTTGAGCGTGGTAATCATACCCTTGGTGTTATAAGTGCGAGATTCCTTGTTTCCAGCGGGATCGGTAGCCAAGATCATGTTCCCTGAGATATCATATTGGAACGTAGAGCGAAGGCCATTTTCATCGATGACCTCAGAGATAACATCCTCCTGACCGATTCGCAGATACTGCTTTTCGACAAGCGATACTTGCGTCATGTCTGCTAAGGACGTCTCACGGCTTGGAGCAGTCAGAACCCGCTCCCGAATCTTTGCGCCACCATCAAGGAAGGTTGTCGATGATACGATGTAGTGACTGCTATCCCCATGCGCAGGGCGAACTTGCTTCGTTGGCCGTCCCAGGATGTCGAAACTCGTCGTAGACCCATCCCACTGACTAGGGGTCCAGTCTAAGTCAACGGTGGCAGCTATCTTGATGGGAAAACTCTCAGAGATATGGTTGCCTCTGGAATCATATTCCCATGACATGTATATCATTTGGGAACCCTGACCATGACGAGTATACTTTTTCCGGACTTGTTTTGCGCAGTCAAAAACTTCCAAGATCTCACTTTGATTCTGTGTACCCTCTCCCAAATGTATCAGGGCCTTTGCGCCCAGATAGAATAAACCAGATGGGAGCTTTTTGTGTTCAAAGGTCAACGACCTATATGGATCCAGATAGGTAGCAGCAAGTATTGTAGAAAGGCTTGTGTCGCTAACAAATGATGTGGCAGCGAAGAAGTCGGAAGAAGTCACGCTACTTGCATCTTGTGTCGTACTCCTTAGTCTTGTCTCAACGGCTCTACCGAATTGATCCATGCGGTAAGCCGACAAAGCTCCATCTTCTTCCAACTTAGCAACTTCCTGGCCACTAGCTTCGTCAAAGGCAGCTAGATAAACTGAAGAGATTCCAGGCCCCTCATATGCTACCTTGACGGCAAACGAATTAAACACTGTATCGTAGGTCGTGGTCTTCTTCAACCCTACAGCATCAACTGTTTCAACCTCATTGCCGTAGGGGTCGAAGGCAAAACTCTTGGCGGCAAAGGCACTTGTATCTGATGACCACTCAGAGATTCTACTCAATACCGCTCTGGATGAATCATACTCGAAGAGGCTCAAAGACGCATCTCCATCTTCAAAATTGGTCATATCAGTGTTATGTTCTTTCGACGAGATCTTCTTGCTGGTTATCAAGCCGGTAATGCCATTGATGGTTTTGTACGTGCATCTTTGCCAAGATTGGAGCACCAATTGATCTAGCACTGACTCTGAGGAAGACTGAGTTGTGACATTCCCATAGTCGTCGTATGAATAGGTAGTAGAGCTGCACCGGGCGACGGCATCGCCTTCCCACATGTCGGTCTGCTCAAGTGTCTTGTTGGTATGATAAATCTTCCATGGGCCTTTTGTAGTGACAGCAAATTCGTAGGATGTCTTTTCGGATTTGAACAACTTGCCTTCTGGGCTCTTGGTGTCAATTTGGCGCTTCAAACTTGTCATGGGCCACGTCTGAAAGTACTTTTCGGTAGTCAAGATGCTGTCAGTCACGTTCAGTGTATGAACGTCGCCGAATCCTTGCCACCCCCTTCCTTTGGTGTTGATGACTGCTGAGGAATAGGACTTCTGGACAGAAAGCTTGTAGTCGAGCGAATTGACAGCCTTGTCATTCTGATAATTCAGACTTGTAACAACATAGTTGGGAGCTCCAAGAACCTGGTAGCTGTCTTGGGATTGATTTCGATAGTTCTCCCACGAGACTGATGGGGTGTATACCGAAGGGTCAGACAAAGGCCCGTAAGTCAAGCTTGTCTCAAGTCCCATCGGGTCCCTTGTCCAAGACAGAAAGTCTGTCGGTTCAGCATTGTTATAAATGGGGACAACCCGCACTTGACCGTTCTCAATACTATAGAGCAGCCAGTCTCCGATACCGTTTCCGTTAAGGTCAGATGGTACAACTTCCATCGTAGATGATAGCATGTTGTCAGCCAGACGATAGAGCTTAGCTTCGCCAACTCGGCCATCACACCGGCCATCGACAGAGAGACAGATGTAAGCCTTGGCATTTCGTTCTTGGTAAACGTAGCTCACACTGGGGTAGTTGGAGCCATTGAGGTTGGTAGTATGGAACTGGCCAGGAACAGTATCACTCAGCGGGCGAGGAGCGGGTATATCCCTGGTGATAGTGGTCCCATGCTTCGCGAATTTACCAAGGCCATCTCCGAGGAAGACGGTGTAAGCCAGCGTCATTCGACCGTTTTGATATTCTGTAGTGGCTAGAACAATGTCCTGAGTCCCATCTCCGTTGATATCACAAGCCACAACATTGTACTTATCCTGGTGCATGTTGACCGACGATTCAAGGATTGATGGCTCTCCCTCTTCAAACGTGACATTTGAATCGGAGGTGCTAGTAGCATGGAAGGGGGTTGTCAAAATGCGCCTTATTCCTTTGCCTCGATCCTCAGCCCATACACGAACAAGGCTTGTGGCCCCTGTATTGGCATGGGCCAGTAGAAACCAGTCAATGGTACCGACGTTGTCATACTTGGTGCGTGTAGCCGTGGCATCCCGCAGACCTAGCTGCCCATCTTGGCTAACACTGGAGAAGTTCCTGAAGGCAAGTTTCTGTTGCTCAGTGTAGATCTGAACGATATCAGTCCTGCCATGACCAGTAAAGTCCCCAGCTATGAACTTTGAACCTGTCGTCCATTTAAATGACGTTGTCTTTGGGCGGAAGTTCTTGAAGCCTGTACCAGCGCTTTCTGAAACTGAGAAGCGAACCATGCCATCGCTGTCACAGTAGGGGATGATTAAGTCAGAGCGCCCATCGCCAGAAATGTCTGGAGCAAGAATACCTGGGAATCCCTGCGACATATTGATAGTCGGCAAGGTAGCCTCTGCATACGGGCCATCTGATGCGTCCCAACTGATACTTCCATCAGGGCCTCTGACAGCAAGATACGTCTTGATAGACATGGCTTTGCTTGCCGGGTTGAACCTGACACAAGCTAGGTCTGCCATTGATCGCCCGCTGATGTTGAGAGTAAGAAGAGCGACATTATTCGTCGTATTCCTCAAGTTAGTGACCCTTTTTTGGACTGACTTAAAGAGTTCTTCGCCTGAGACACCAGGAGATGTGTAGCCGAAGGTTGCAGGCAGAAGTTGAACTTTCTCATTGCCACTGCCGGCCGTCTCGATGACTGAACCAAGGCACGAGTCACCTGTGGACTGAGATTGTGTATAAGAGAGCTCATAGGATCGGTCAATCTGCAGACTCTCGCCTCGCACCCGACCAATGTGGATAGCAGAAAGGAGGGAGGCCCAAACGGCCTTGTCGCCTTGCACGGTCTGAACAACAAGATCCGTACGCGAAGAATACTCAAGTTGAATAATTCGTGTCGCTGGGAGTCCAGTGAATTCATTTGAGGTGTATCGGACTTCGGAGAGATAGCAAGTGTGGACATCACCAACGCTATTTCCGCTGGGCGATGTGACATAGACATAAGTGATGGTGTTCCCATGACAGTCACTTTGTTTCTTGAGTCGCCACTCCCTGACACCACTTCCATCTGACAGGTAGATGAGGCTGTCGTCTGTGGTACCATACTCCTTCCGAAGTCCAGTAGCATCACGGACCAAGAAGCCATCCTTCAGGTGGCTCACTGTCCTCCCGAGACTGTCAATCTCAGTCGTGTATTCAGCATCTGGCTCGCCGTAAGCACCTCGAGTGTTGAGGAGCTCAACCCCGTCCAAGGTGAGTTTTGGCTTCAAGCGGCCATAATCTGCTGGAGGAGTATTCGCGCCGTCAAAGGCAAGGCTTGATAGTCCTTTGCGAATACAGGAGAGACCGCCAAGGGCCCAACCTATGCCCAGACTCCCGTTGGGACAGCCCTGGCAGTACTCCAGAGACAGCTCAGGCTCGTTGCCATGGCCAATGCCCGGAGGGACTTGAATTTTGAGGGAGTACCGTGCAAGGCCACCGGAATCTGTGTCGACTTTGCCAACGTCACGCCCAATAGCAGGAAGATGGTTATCCATAACGTTCAAACTTTAGCTTTGATGGAATTGGGCCGAAAGGGATAAAGATGTAGTCAAGTAGATCTATCCTTTAGAAACTTCAGTTTCGCGATTCTATACCCGGAGTGTTGCGTAAAGGCTCGACTAGCAAGAGCGGCGATTATGGGGGCTGATACCTGCATTAGGCCTTGTGCATAATATTGACTACAGTGGCTGGCTGAGAATTGTCGCCAGACCCATTTTTCGCCAAGCTTGACTGACCCCACCTGAGCTGATAGGTTAAACATAAGGTTGTCTCGACTGCATTCCAACCATCGCTTAAGCGTCCGGAAGAAATGGTCCCCGTTGTGACCGACCGAGTTTTATGCATGAAAAGCAATGACGAGGTCGTAAAGGTCGTTGTTAGACTTTAACCGATGCCCATGGAACGCGCCGCAGCTCACTAGCTTGGAACTAATGCAAGAATGAATCTATTTCAGCGACGATCACTTCTCTGAGAAGTTAGGTCGCCCAAAGTAGCTTACTACATACAGTATCAACAATAGTCTCAAAAAGTAAGCATGGATATCGGGCCATTTTAGATCCCTTGCAGCGAACTATTGAAAGAGGCTTGATTTTCTGATTCGATGTCTTCAATTAGTAACATCCAGACTGCGACCACGACACTGGCAGTGTCAGACTTCATCCTCTCTTTAAAGATTTATAGTGGCCCTGGCGCAAAAATGTATGAGTTGTTTTCAGACCTCAAAACTTTGCCCTTTTACGACCAGCTTTTGCCACAGCTGGTTCCCCTTCTCTATCTGCTTCTCTTTGTCCCAAGACCTCTTGTATCCATTCTGATACAATGGCGGACGGAGAAAAGATCTGCTTCCTCAGGATCGGACTTGTCCCCGAGCTCGGCAAAGGTCTTCGTGCACAAGCCTTAGTCGCAGATCTCCCTTCTAAAGGCAGCATCAGCTCCCTGACTTTGAGGGGACCTTATGATATTAGCACCAAAACATCTGTCCATATGCCAGGCTCAACATTCCCTGCTGCCGTTCCTGTTTACGACTATGACCAGAGTGAGATCATTTGGGCTGTCCATAACACGGACGATGACCATTATGCGGGAGAATTCAATTCTGAGGATTGTGAGATCCATATTTGGCGCTTGGGTCCGCACTTTTCCCTTTCATCGATCGAGTCAACATCGCTCACAGCGACATACCCTCAAAGTCCCGGGTTGATATTGGAAAACGGCACAATCAGTGTTGGGGTCTTGAATGGGGATCAATATTGCGAAACGCCCTCAACCCTAGACCTTGCGCGCCGAGGTTATGATCATAAATGGACCAAGATGCCATTAAACACAACGTCTAAGTCTTCAAATGGTCAAACGGGGTTTTTATTTAAACCCCCTTTCTCGAACTTAAAGTACATCTTCTTTCTCCAGTCCCATAAAGATTACAGTACTGTTCTGCAGATCGATGCAGTGAAGGAAAACAAGTTCGCGGAGCTGGGAGGCAGTTCCGTCCTGTGGCAACATTACGAGGTTGACTTTGGCTTTCCAATCAAGCGCAACCTGGAGGATGAACCTGGCAATACAAATAACGGTAACTTTGGGGCCATTGTTCTTCAAGATGAAAAGTCAGGCAAGAGTCGGCTCTATATCTTCAAATTGGGCCATGCAGAGATTCACTATGCTTATATCCCTTTGCGAAAAGACGGCTCTATTGACTCTTATAACGCTACCTTCAAAGCATCTGGGAAACAAACTATAGAGATAGGAAATGTGTCACCCTTTCAAGGCCCTTGCTTACTCCAGACTGAAAGTTCACCTGAGAGTGAGGGCAAACTTATTATTCTCTGGAATCATGAGAATGATGATTTCTTCTTGAAGGGATATTCTGGAGCTATTAAACCCAATGGAATGGCACCAAATGGAGATGAGTGGACTGAAATTAAGTTTCCATTTGACCAGAGTCAGGGTTGGAATAATAGACATTATACTAGCTGGTCAGCTCTTATTATTCCAGGTAGCTATGAGTAAGAATACAGATTACATGGCAAGGTTATGCTGCTATTTAATTAGATATCTGTAAACTTACCTTAATTGTCCAGGCACTGGATTAACTTTACATGCCAATCTAAAGGCGTTGCTACACATGAAATGAAGGGTAGAATGTAAGTATAGTTGCGTCCAAATTTCAAGCTGTTAATACTCTAATATTTGTTGGTGCTGTCTGACACCTTGACGATCAGACGACAGTTCCGAGTAGCGCAACTGACGTCACCGAGTCTGTGAGCGTGAGGAGGCCATTTGTCTGTTGGCTGGTCACTCTACTGTCTTACATGGCCAGTTGGCTCGTGGGCCGGATTTGTGGTAGGATGCGGTGTTGGCGCTGATTCTCGCACATTTACAAGTTTAAAACCCGCCCACTTACGAGCTCAAATCCCCACGCATTTATAGTTCACACCACAGCATCGAGAGACTGTTTTATAAAAGTTTGGTGAGGAATGTAACTGCAGGGTGAAGCTGAGGGAGGTCGTATGTGTTTAGCAACGCGTTTTGGCCCCTTTTGTTATGGGCAGGAATAAAGACAGCATAGGCCTTTATTTCATCTACCATTGTTTCTTTCCAGTGCTATGCTTAGTGAGGCTCAATAGGTTCTTGTAGGGATATAGAGTGGCTGCTCGATTAGGGACTTACTGGTTTTCCTGCTTTGCGGCACAAGAAAGGACAAGAGAACCTCGGTTTCCTTTCAGTAGTACGTCATATGCCCTGCCCCTGGCCAAGGGCTGCTAACGAGAGACGTGTGTAGATGAGCATAAGTGAGTAGGCTGTAAGTTTATTATACGACTACAATTATACAACCCTAAGATGCTGAAACGCTGTTATCCTGAGCGAGGCAAAGCGTGCCTGTGCCTAGCTTGAACTTGTAGTCTTCCCCCTTTGCCTCTTTCTTAATCTCTTTCTTGAGCCTCCGCTCATTGAATACATTTGTAACATGGTTGTGCATATTATACCTTCAGAGAGTTAGTAAAGAGTAGTCTACTTTAGATCTCAAACACAACTTACATATTCATCTCATCGATAGTCAATTTACCATCTTCAGTTGCAACATTATAGACTTTGGTGTTTGTATTACTAGAAAAGCCTGTAAATAATGTCAGCATCTGCATCCAAGTATCAGCTCGAAATCTCTCACCAATTCGCTCGTTGATGTTCTCTCGGGCCCTTGCCGATGCAGCCTGAACCTTGGTAGCCCTGGGCTTGCGAACTTCCTCAAATACTTTGAGAGATTCACGAATATCACCGTTAAAGTGCTCTTTGCTGAAAACAAGACCAATTGCGGCAGCATCTTCGATGGCCTGGCAAGCACCCTGACTTTGATCCGGCATCATCTTTTATTTCTGTCAGTGTATGAAAGGTAGAGACAGACACAAGAGCATCAAAGCTGAAACAAACACAACTTACCGGATGAGCAGCATCCCCCATAATGCAGGCAACCCCCTCCGTCCAGTGATCGTAAGGCTCATGGAGCCACAGTCGCCAGGGGCGGATCTCGTACCCAATCTCAAGGTGCTTGAAAACCGACCGGTCCAAATCGGGGTATGGGTCGAGAAGCTCCTCTAGAGTGGCCTCTTGATCCCAGGTCTGTGCCTTTAGGTCGCCTGCTTCTCGCGGGAAGAAGCAGTAGTAAGAAAGGAGCTTGCCTCCGTTGCATGGAGACAGAACAATCTTGAAATGAGTGTTGTAACCTCCCCAATACTCCAGAGCGCTGTTCTGAGAGTAGTCGACCAAGCCGAGCTCCACAGCCTTTGCGGTGTCAACATTGGTATGCAGACATGTGCAAGTAGCCGGTTTGCGATCGGGCTTGATGCCAAAAACATTTCGAAGGGTGGATCCAATGCCATCGGCTCCAATGACTACATCGTGCTTTACCTTCTTGCCATTTTCAAAGGTGACTTCTCCACTCTCCACATCTACATCAGTAGCCTAGAATAAAAGACGGTGATTAGTGGCATTGCTGTACCATCTGACAATACTGTATTTGATAACTCACCTGGTGGTTCACAATGAGTTGGGCAGGGGTGCCCTCGCCTTCACCAAGGGCACTATCCATCAACATGCGATGCATATACTGGCGATGAAACATGTAGTAGACCTTGAGATTGTTATCAGCATTCCCATTTCGGATGGAGGTTCAAAGTCGGGGTATCACTTACATAGCCCCATCGTTCTTTATAGTCCTTAAGATCGTAGACGCTAATGGGCTCGCCAGTTTTCCAGTCACGACTGATTAACTTCCTGAGAATAACCGGATCACCAATTTCAATGTTGACCTTCCACTCTTCCAGCCAGCGAGTACCATTAGCAGCACATGAGATGGACGCCCCAACTTCGCCAGCAAAATCAGCGCGTTCGTAAATGGTGACCTTGTGGCCCTGGCGACGAAGAGAAGTAGCAACTGCTTGACCTCCGATGCCCCCTCCAATAACAGCCACATCAAGTGCACGCCAGCCACTTTGAGTCGACATAGCTCTTTCGATATGTTTGGTGGTTCAAGTCTGGAAAGTGCACAGTTCAAAAAATTAGACAGGACGGAGATGCAGGCAATCAGGCTTTTCTGCAATTTGTCCGAGAAAGGTATTTGTAGTAGTGACGCTCTTTTGAAGCCTCAAATAACTTTCAGAGGCTTTGGCCTTGGACTACTGGCATGCAGTATGTTCCCGACTGAGCCCCGATCCCTGGAACCAAGGGCTACGAATCCCCACAGTACCGGCTTCTTTCCGACCCAAACCCGGATGCTCTTTATCATTGAAGGCTTCTTGATTTGTCGAACGACATCATACTCCGGAGGTGAGCAGGCCATGGATCGTTCTAGTTTGGCAGTTATGCAACAAGTTCAACAATTTACGTGGTCGGAGACTTCAGGAAATCCTCACGCAGAACCTTGTCTAATCTCACCTATTTGATATGCAGCGACCACCAGTCGTGCTCATTGAATGAACATTGGGTAACTTTCCGATCATTCCCCGGCGGAATCCAGAGACTCTCATGGTACCCTATGCATTCATGAAGTACTTTTTGCACCCAGCGCAAGAACATGCGCTGGCAAAAAGTCAGATGTAAGTCAAATACTCTCGCCGCAAGTTGAAGTCAGTGCACATTCTCACAGAGGAACAGGGAGATATCAAGATTTATTCCGCTGTCATTGCGAGATTTTACATTTGGACTGTTTGATCTAAGTGCAAGATGGGGAATACATCACTGTTGGTTTGCTTCACATACTAATTTGCTTTTTACTGTGGACGGGCCTGTCAAAAGTTAGCTAACTCAAGAGATTAACAAGAGCATTTAGGTGGTCATTTCTTGGAAGCTTGAATATGGCGGTGTCGCTGCCTAACGGCCCACGCTCACGTTGGACGTTATCAATTTCCTTTCGAGATAGGAAATATAGTACCTGGACCCTCCGTCTGACTTCCTCCGTGATTCGGAACGGTCATAGCGACTAGCCCCCCCCTTCCGCTGTCCCGTTCCGTTGAAAAGCTATGCCTACCCTGTCTTAGCTCCTAAAGTCCCACGAACTAAAACAGAATCCGGGGCAACCAATCAGTGGATTGTCATTACTACAGAGTGAGTTACTCCGTTTCATCGCCACGATTTATCACACAAAGAGAGCCGCAGCTAGATTTGTGATGGGGTCTGGGAAAATCCTCTTGACATCCAAGAATTCATGATTGGGGTTTTCCCCAGTACCATCCCAATGGAATGTAACTATTTGTAAAATAAAATAAAACGATAGAAGACAAGAAAGAAAAAGACAAGCGGACTTCGGGTTGAAATGAAAATGTAAATTGATGGCCGCAACATACGCAGGAATTCAAGCAGTAAGGACTTACAACAGAACTTCCTACAATCCAGAAGGCAAACCACACGAAGCAGAGTAAAGCTATACAGTCTCCCCTCCTTAGTCAAACCAACCAGGTCTTCCAATTCTGTCACTTCACTTCCATCCCCTCAACGACGCTGGCTGCTACAACTGGCATCTTGAACTTCTTCCTACCAACAAAGGTGAAGTGGACAGCTCCAAGTATGATCCAACCAGACATAACAGCCACTGAGTAGTTCATATTCTCGGGCGTTACAGGCAAAGAACCCGGGAATAGACTGAAAATAATAGAAAACACCATCCAAATGATGGCAGCCAAGTTCAAGAAGAGTCCTAGAACTTTCCCCAGCTTGAAAGGGCCATAATCTGAGGGTTGCAGCTTGCTTCGGCCCCAAACCAGCATGCATATGACGGGCATCAAGTAGGAAAGATACATTCCCGTAGCGGACATGGACAAGATGGCGTTGGACGCCGTGGGGTTGACCAAGTACAGCAAACCCAGCAGCAAATCGAGCACAAAGACCACAAGGACTGCGTTGACCGGAATCTTGAGCTTGGGTTGGATATGTCCAATCCATGAGTGGAAAGGAGTAGCGTCATCGCGCGCAAAAGACCACAAAGTTCGAGAAGCAGACGTCATGCCGGCAGCAGCTGCTGCAATTGCTGTCAAAGCCGAGACTAGGACCATGAATGTAGTGCCGACGACTGAATGAGTCGCATCGTAGTAGATTTGGATGAAGGGAAGCCTGTAGGGTGTCGCCAGGATGGCCTCAAGTGGTCCCGCCGAGAAAAGCAACATTGTGACATAGCCAACGCCCATAACACCGTTGATGGCGATACTTCCAATCATTGCAAGTGGTACATTGCGGCGAGGATGCGGTAGTTCTTCAGCCAGATGACAAGCACCGTCGTAGCCTAAGAACGGATATATGGAGCTGATCATGCCGACAATCCAAGCAACGCCATCGTTCCAATTTGTATTATTGAAGGTCGTAGTGAAGACGTAGTCGGGAGTGTTTTTCTTGGACGTGACACCGAGGGCAATGAGGACAGCAAGAAATCCAAAGATATGGAGAGCGCCTGGTAAAGTTAGAACCTGTGTGGGCAAGGGGAGAAGAGGGCAAGGGGTGGTGACTGGTGAGCATACCGGAGATAAAGTTGGCAGTCGGGAGCACCTTCTCGCCGATGATGTTCAATATCGCACAATAGATCAAAATGGCAATAT